AGCCAACAATCCAAGCCACTGGGAAGCAGGGATCATTTTAGGGCCAAAAGAGAATAACAGTTTTGTAGTAGGAATACACCAGAGCACCCCAGCGAACAAGATTCTAGAATGTTCAAACCAAAGAAGAGAATGCCCCGGTGTTAAGTAGGAGACCCCCTGGGTAGGCCCTCCCAGGAGCAGTACAAAGAAACTGGCTCAACTGGTAACTGACCACACTGTTGATAATTAGATCAAAGAAGCGACTACACTCTAGTGACGTAGGTTATGGGGGGTTTACTGTTGGCTACTGGTGAAATTTCTTCTGGGACTTCAGTCCTCTCTCAGCTTAAACCATAAGGAACGGGGCCCGCTACTCAAACAATAGCGTGACGGCCATCTGCCCAGGTGTGGCAGGTACTGTGCACAGGTGGAAAGGGTGAACGCGGTGATTCTCCTCGGCCCTGAGTAATCCTCAGGGGGAACCTTGCAACTCCGTCACCCCGGGTCGCGGAACCTACGGGTCGGCCTGACCTGAGGCCCTAGCCCACCGTGGTCTCTCTCTCGCCAAGCCCCGAGTCCGGCCCGGGGGGAGGGCCCGCGAGATCGCTTCCCTGGCCAGGACCAGAGCCAACGGGCCGAGTCGCGCGGCGGGGGCCAGACCCGGGAGGCCGCAGCCCAGCAACAGCCGGCGGCCTGGCCGCCACTGACCTTGTAACCGCCCCAGACGAACATGTGGCGCCCGTCGCTGACCGCTACGTGGCCGCTGCGCTCGGCCGGGCAGGCGAGCTCCATGGCGTCGTAGTTCTCGAAGGCTGGCCCGGGCAAGTCGTCCGCCCGCAGATCTTCGTGGCCATCAGCCATCTTGAGGCCGCACTCGAGTGCACCGAGAATGCCCGCGCCCGGGAGCGGGGAGAGAGGAGACAAAGGAGGAGGAGAGAAATGCACGGAGGCGGCCGGCGCGGGGACGGGCCTCTGCAGCCCGCGCTGCGTCTCCACCGTCCTCGGCCGAGCGCGGCGCTCCGATGTCGGGTCTCGGGCCGGGAGACAGCGGTGACAGGCCCGGGACGGCAGGCTGGACGGGAGCTAGCCGCCGCGGGCTGCGCGCACTGAGCACCCGGGCCCCGCCTCCAGCGGCCCCTCCGCTTGTTTACGCCGCGACCGGAAGTCGCTAGCCGCGCCCCGGAAGTGCCATTGATCTCCGCCCCTTGCGCGGCTCCGCCCACCGCGGCCACCCTGCCGGAGGCCTGAGCGGGGACGCCGGGGCCGTCGTGGGCCGGCGGGTTGGCTGGTGGAGCTTGAGGTCGGCCTGGGAATCGCTAGGTTCTCCCTCCCCCAAACGCTTGTCTTCCCGCCCTTCGGGGACTTGGCCCAGTGGACGGAGGTGGTAGCGCGATGGCCGCGTGTCGGGCCTCGCCGCGCGGCCCGCGGCCTCCGGGGCTCCGCGCAGCCCTCCTGGCCGCCGGCGCCGCCCGCCCCGGGCGTTTGCTGTTTTTCTGGGCGAGTTGCGGAATGGTGGACCCTGCCCACACATGCTGTGTGTGCTGCACTTCCGTCTGAGCCCGTGAAGGAGGCCTGGGGTAGGACGCGGCCTGAATCCCTGCCCGAAGCCGCCTCCCGGCTATCAGCTCCGGTTGGAAGGACACCACGCATCCTCATCTTTGCCCTCGCTGCCATCTTCAGAGCCTGAAACCTCTGTAGCTGGCGTGTGACGAGAGGATTCATGTCAGCGTCCAGCGAGGAAACAACTACTGTGGAAAACGTGACTGCGCTCCGCCCCGCGTGGACCCCGCCGCACCTGCAGCCAGAACTGCTCCATCGCATTGATGCCCGGTTTATCGTAAACCGTGTAAATCCTGCCTTACTTAAAAACCCCTGAATTGGCTTACTTCACTTAGAATCCAAAGTTCCTACCCTAACACAAGGTGAGACCCCACATAGCCTGGCCATGATCTCTGATCCTGGATGGCCTTGGCTCCTTAAATCGGCACTCTCTCAGTTCTTCACACACTTACCATGGTTAGAACCAGTGTTGTCCCTGTCCCCAGAAGCCTGACTCTTAAAACTTACCCAGGGAAACCCGCGGGATACCCCTCTCGTAGGCCACGTTTAATTCCCTTATCTATAATTCTCCTTTGCTCTTAAATCGCTGAAGCCATCCTGGAATCTCTGGACTGTCGTTGCTCTACAATGCTAGATTGTAAGCTTGGAGTAGGAGTCTAACTTCCGTGATGCTTGCTTCAAGCCTGTTCCTCTGGATAAAGCTAACAGTTACTTCAATTGATGAACTACACCTGACAAATTGTGGCTCAAGTGGTAGATCGCCCACCTTAAGTTGAAGAGCGCAGGGACAGCGCCCAGGCCCAGAGTTCAAGCCCATGACCGGCAAAAACACACACACACATACACACACACATATCACTAAAAACTTAAAATTTTACATTATATTTTTTTTGGGGGGTGGGGGGGTCCAGTCATGGAGCCTGAACTCGGCCTGAGCGCTGTCTCTCAGCTCTTCAGCTCAAGGCTAGCGCTCTACCACTTGAGCCACAGCGCCACTTCTGGCTTTTTTCTTTTTGCTTATGTGCTGCTGAGGAATCGAACCCAGGGCTTCGTGCGTGCAAGGCAAGCGCTCTACCACTGAACTACCTTCCCAGCCCCAAAATTTTATATTCTATCCTCAGAATGCTATAGGGCCACAGCTTATAGGGAACTGAATTCCGTCCCAGAAACGTCCTGGGTACAGGATCAATTTTATGTAGAGTTGAATGTGTATAGATGCTCTTCAATTTTGATAGTTATATCCCAATAAATATCCCAAGGTTAAGTTGAAAATAAATCAATTGTAACTCCTTTGTACAGCTATTTTGAAAATACCATAAATCAGAGATGTATCATAAATCATGGTCAGAAATGTATCATAAATCAGAAAATACCATCAATCAGCTACTGAGCATAATAGTGGCACAGTAAGCCCAGTTGCCTTGAAGACTACGTGGCTAGCTGGTAGCCACTGCTGGCCATCACTACCTAACATTACAAGCATGCTGGCCACATTGCCAGCCCAAGAAAAGACCAAAACTAGACATTTGACATATAGTTTTTATTGAATGCATGTCACTTTTGTGCCATCGTAAAATAATCATGAAGTGCAACTAATGTAAGTTTGATAGCATGTGTATATGTGCAATTTTATAAGCCACTATAATAGTGACTTTGACATCGTTAATTGCTATTCATGTGTCAAACTATACTTTTCTTGTATTTATGAACCAAGTTTTTGAAACACACTTACTATGTAAGCTGAGTTCAAAGTGTGAAAATGTCCCAAGCCCTCTGGATATCTAGAGATCTTTTCAAGGTTCCTTATGAAACTGTCTTTTCTAAGTATATGCAGACTTATGTCACTTAATAATGAGGACATGCTTTAAAAATGAGCCAAGGGATGTGAACTATGTAAACATCATTCAGTATAGTTACACAAACTAGGATGGCATGACATGACTGGGCAATACCTTATAGAACCATTGTTGTCTGTCATCTTCTCACATCTTGTCATGTGACACATGTAAAGCCAGATTTTCTTCACACAAGTCAATCAAAACAATATACAAGTGGTGCAGTGGCTCAAGCGGTAGAGTGCTCTATTTTAAAAAAAAAAAAAAGGCTGGGAATGTGGCTTAGTGGTAGAGTGCTTGCCCTGGGTTTGATTCCTCAGTACCACATAATCAGAAAAAGCCCAAAGTGGTGCTGTGACTCAAGTGGTAGAATTCTAGCCTTGAGCAAATGAAGCTTAGAGACAGTGCTCAGGTCCTGAGTTCAAGCCCCAGAATGGCACAAAAGAAAAAGAAAAAAAAATGAAAGAAAAAGAAAGTACTTTAGGATACATGATTTTTTTTAGTAGTAGTGTTTGAATTCAAGCCTCACGCTTCCTAGGGCTCTATGTAAACTAAACCTTCAACCCGTTTTACTTTAGTTTTCAAGCCCACACCAGACTTAGAAAGCAATCCCCCTCCCATGTATCTGGGATCACAGGCATGTAGCACCACTCTTAGCCACTGACACATGATTATTTGAAGCAGCATAGCATATTGAGTCAAATAATAGCACTAGGGTCTCAGATCAAGAAAGGACAAAGGGAAGAAGGAAGGAAATAATAGCACTGGTTTATATGTGTTCGAGATGATATATGGAATTTCATTGCCTTAAAGCCCAAATGAGTCTGTATTTTGAGGGGACTAATCCAGATTTTTTATGTTCCAATGAACTATTTAAAAACATAGGCACTTTGGAGTTGGAGGCATGGCTCAGTTGGTAGAGCACTAGCCAATGAGCAAAAGCAGCAGAAACCCAATTCGAGTGGAGTATTGGTCTCAAACCTAAAAAAACGAAGGGAAGGAAAAACATAGACATTTTATAAGGGGTTGAGAAGGTATTCATATAATGCATTTAAAGATGTTTGTTCTGAGCTGGGAAGGTGGCTTAGTGGTAGATTGCTTGCCTTGCATGCATGAGGCCCTGGGTTCGATTTCTCAGCACCACATAAGCAGAAAAAGCCAGAAATGGCACTGTGGATCAAGTGGTACAGTGTTAGCCTTGAGCTGAAAAGCTCAGGGACAGCACCCAGGCCCAGAGTTCAGGCCCCATGACTGACAAAAAAAAAAAGATGTTTGTTCAAAAGAAAAGTTTGTTCAGTTAGTGTTTTCCATCATTATACAATAATGTTCTTTTGTTTTGCTTTAAAACAGGGTCTAATGCCGGGCACTGGTGACTCACGCCTGTAATCCTAGCTACTCAGGAGGCTGAGATCTGAGGATCACAGTTCAAAGCCAGCCTGGGCAGGATAGTCCATGATACTCTCATCTCCAATAAGCCACCAGAAAACCAGAAGTGGTGCTGTGACTCAAGTGGTAAAGCGCTCACTGTGAGCTGAAGAGCTCAGGGACAGTGCCCATTCCCAGAGTTCAAGCCCTAAGACTGACAAGAAAAAAAAATTTTTTTAATAAAATAAAATGAAGTAAATGATGGTCTAGCTATATATCCCAGGCTGTCCTGAAACTTGACTGGGTAACCCACCAGCCTCAAACTTGACTTCCTCCTTCCTTAGCCTCCCCGTTGCTAGGATTACAGGGATTCACCATGACAGGCTCCAATCAGGTTTGATACATTTTTGCTTTAAATATAAAAGTTGCTTTTGAAATTCATAGTAAGATAATTTCTTCTAAGATTACATTAGTTGTAAAATACACTCTCCACCCTGTTACAAAGACTAATAATAGAAAAAAATCAAAATTCACATTTAACTTTTTTTGCAATCAACTCTAATGATTGGTTCACAGTGACAAAACTATGAAACAGTAATTGTGTATACTTTGTACAATAAATAAAATATAAACACAAAATATTCAAATACATAAATAGAAGCTTTACACATCCAAAATACAATACATATATAAAAGATATCTCTGAAATTTGATGAAGTACTACAAACTACAGTTGTCACTATAAATTATATATATGTATAGAAATTCATTTTATAGCATTTAAAATTTTAGAGATAATTTACATGGTGATAAAATGGAGAATAATTTTATATACCAGGTATTTAGTAATCAATCATTATTAATAAGCCAATGAAAGCATGACTGTGATAATATGATGAAAAACATCACATATGTTGTTATAACAAAAGTTTCATCTTGAAAAATATATAGTTTTCATTTTTGTATGAGTGACAATACTGAAGAGATATTTGAGTTTGAACATGTTAGTATCTGGAACATCAAGTCTATAGAGCATCACCCACTGAAATGTTTACACAATGACTTTAGAAGCACTCTTCCAAGACAAATGTATTTTAATATGTCTCTGAAGTTTATATATATATATATACCAAATCTTAATATTCCAGGCCTGTGTGATAAATAAACCTCCATTTTATATACTTAAAAACATGGTCTTTACATATACAGCTATACCTGGATAAACTAATCTTAGGGGTAATGGAGACAAAATTGACATGTTTCCTCTGCTGAAATAAAAGATGAGGAAACGTGAGGATGGTGCCTTTTACTTGGTAAATGCTACAAAGGACAAAATTCAATATTTAACACTATATTGGTACTGGCCTGTTGTATAATTTTGGGCTAGCTTTATTAGTTTTATTTTTTTAATTGTTACTTAATATCAGTCATTTCAGACAACATTTAGGTATAATTTTAGTGTGATAAGAAAGTTTATTCTCTTTGAAAGTTGGTATGTAGTGTTTTTATACTTACATCTGCAATTATGTTAGGAGATGTCTGAAGACCTTAATTTCTCAAAAACTTTTCAGTAAAGAGTACACATTGAGTTGTTAAAATTGTACTTACTTTGAGAAAGGTTATTTGTTTGATAGTTGGTAAGAAAGTCAGCTTACAAATGTAAATATAAATTCGTACTCAGGTCTTATTTCCATATATTCCATGCCATATAATCAATTTAACAGAATATTTTTGTTTCAAAGTTTATCCTTTAAGTAAATCCTGCAATTAGGGGAGGGTGGTAAATGTACAGTCTGACTAAAATGTTTAAACATATTAGACAAATAGCAAATATAACAATTCAGTTGGAACTGATCCACTAATGCTTATTTTCTGTTTCTTCTTTTTGAATTCTTTGTTCTTCTCTGTGATTAGCTGCAGTCCAAAATGTTATTTTTTTGAGAACTTGTTGCAGAAGTTTAGGAGGTAATAAAGATATTTGACTCTTTAAAATGACAGCATTTTTACCAATGCAGTCAAGGCATGACCTGCAAATAAAACATAATAAAATTATTAGTTTTTGAACCAAAAGGTATAATATAAAATATTTATAGCAGTGCTAGGGATCAAATGCAGATTGAATGCTAGGAAAACACCTTACCACTAAGCTAAATCGTCAACCCTATAATTAAGTATAATTAAAAATAAAAATCATTATAAAAACTTTTTTTTTCTAGAGCACAAGTGTGTGTGTGTGCGCGTGTGCGTGTGTGTGTGTGTGTGTGTTGGTACCGGAGCTTGACCTCAGGGCCTCACACACTCTAACTTGGCTTTTTCAATGTTCATCACTGGCACTCTACCACTTGAGCTATACCTCCACTCTCTGCTTTTGCTAGTTAGTTGGAAATGAGAGTCTCATGGACTTTCCTACCCAGGCTGGCTTGAAACCACAGTTCTCAGATCTCAGCCTCCTGAGTAGCTAGGATTACAGGAGTGAGCCACCAGTGCCAGGCTAATCATGTATTCTTATTGCACAGAATCTATATCTGACCAAAATCCAACTGAAACAGAAAATACAACTTACCATACATAATTTTTTTAATTAAAAAGATTCAGACTTCAGGGAGAAAGACAAGACGTGGGAAAAGAATAGAAAAAGGTGATGGACAGGATCAATTCATATATGATATATGCATGTATGGAAATATTTCACAGTGAATCCCACTAACTCATACAATTAATATGTGGTCATACTTATAATTAAAAATAAAATATACTTCTGATTTTCTTTTTAAAAAAGATTCAGAGTTAATTTCTTTTTTTCGTGGTCCTAAGGTTTTCAGCTCTAGGCCTTATGCTTACTAATGTAGCATTTTAGCATTTGAGCTACATCCCAGCTCTTTTTGCTTTTAGTTGTTTTTCAGATATCATCTCACACTTTTGCTCAGGCCAGTCTGACCTTGATCCTCCTATCTCTATCTCTCAAATAGTTGGCACTAAAAAAAAAAGCTAGGGTTACAGATTTGAACACCTAGCTATTTAATTCCATCTGTCCTTTCTTCCCTTCATTCTTTCCCCCATGCATAGGATGGAACCAAGAGCTTTGCACATGTAAAGCAAGTGCTTTATAGTGAGACACATTCCAGTTAAGTTCAAAGCAGGTGAGTCTGAAGCAGATCAATTTCCACAAGTCTTTTATTTAGCCCAATAACTATTTAGCCTTCTCTGAGAGTTGTCTTTTTCTTCCATTGCCTTAAGATTAAGTATGTGGCTCACGCCTGTAATCCTAGCTACTCAGGAGGCTGAGATCTGAGGATTGCCATTCAAAGCCAGCCCGGGCAGGAGAGACCGTGAGACTCCTATCTCCAATAAACCACCAGAAAACTGGAAGTGGCGCTGTAGCTCAAGTGGTAGAGCGCTTGCCTTGAGCTAAAGAGCTGAGGGACAGCGCTCAGGCCCAGAGTTCAAGCCCCACGACCGACCAAAAAAAAAAAAAAAAAAGATTAAGTATGTGATATCTATTTTTCTCCCAAGTTACCTGTCTGCCCCAAATTCCTTCCATAAGTGACTGCACTGGAGTTCCTCATGTGACTGAAGTTGACCCACAAAGAGCAGGTCAAAAGTGAGGAATGGAGGAGCAATACAAAAGAGAGCCAACAAGAAAGAACTTGAGCTTGTAATTTTCTGGGACCCTTTGATTTCACTAGTGGGTCATACCTTCCAAAGACAATTCCCTTCTTATGCTGCTCTCATATTACATTCATAGTGTATAAGTTTTCTTGATAACTGCAAACAATTTAAAAATCTGAATAAATAACAGTTCTTTCTTTAAAGAAATATATCCATGATGGGCATAATCTCAAAGTCCATAGATTATATATAAGCTGAGAACATGAATTGTGCCCTCCTCTTCTTTGTTTTCTCTCAGTATATGTGTCAACACAGTAAGTGCTAAATGTCTTCTGAATTTTAAAATCAAATGATCAGGTTGGCTGTGATCTGGGCAATAAATATTAAATTCTGCTATATTTAAGATGTGATGTATCAAACCTTGCTTAGCATCACGAGGGCACTGGAGTGTGTAGCCATGGAGATCCTGGTGGCTACTCTCAGTCCAGCCTCAACAAAAGCCCATCTATTGTCTGCCATCTCACCTGCTCACATTTCTGTACTGATTCATCTTCCCCATCCGTGTCTGTTTCCCTCCTCTCCCAAACCTCTCTTTTGTGCTGGGAAAATAAATGCTTAGCATCTGACTGGAATAATAGTTATGTGACCTATGCAGACTTTTACTTACTCTTACTTTCTGTCTTTGTTCCAATTAAAATCTATAAAAATTGCTGTTTTGTTTACTTTAGGTATTCCAGGTGGACTCCAGGACATGTGTATGGAAGGCAAGTACTCTTAACACTTGAGCTATGTCCCAGCCCATTTGGGGTTTTGTTTCGTTTTTGAGACAGGGCTTCTCTGCTACTTTTGCCTTGGCTAGCCATGGATGCTCGCGTCTCCTGCCTTGACTTCTTGAATAGCTGGGATAACTGAGACCATGCCACCATGCTAAGCTTGATCATTTCACTTCAGGCTTTCTCATCTACTACTTACCACTCATTCTCCTCTCATCATTCCAAGACTTTGGCCACCATCAGTCTTATGAGACTGATTTTTATATATGTGTTGAAACCTTTTTCATTTTTATAAGTTTTACCCATAAAATTCTACCTTTAAAATCTTGAACTTCTATATTCTCATCATGAGCTAGAATCCTTTTATATTTTTAACTCATCTTTTTCTCTCTTTTTTCTTTTTTTTGCCAGTCCTGGGGCTCTAACTCTGGGCCTGGGTGCTGTCCCTGAGCTCCTTTTGTTCAAGGCTGGCACTCTACCACTTGAGCCACAGTGCCATTTCCAGCTTTTTCTGTGATTAATTAGAAATAAGAGCCGGGTGCTGGTGGCTCACGCCTGTAATCCTAGCTACTCAGGAGGCTGAGATCTGAGGATCGCGGTTCAAAGCCAGCCCGGGCAGGAGAGACCGTGAGACTCCTATCTCCAATAAACCACCAGAAAACTGGAAGTGGCGCTGTAGCTCAAGTGGTAGAGCGCTTGCCTTGAGCTGAAGAGCTGAGGGACAGCGCCCAGGCCCAGAGTTCAAGTCCCACGACCGACAAAAAAAGAAATAAGAGTCTCCCAGGCTTTCTTACCTGGCCTTGGTTTCAAACTTCCATCCTCAGATCTCAGCCTCCCAAGTAGTTAGGATTATAGGCATAAGCCACTGGCACCTGGCTATACTTTTAATTCTTTTTTTTTTTTTTGGGTCCGGTCATGGGGCCTGAACTCTGGGCCTGGACGCTGTCCCTCAGCTCTTCAGCTCAAGGCTAGTGCTCTACCACTTGAGCCACAGTGCCACTTTCGGCTTTTTTTTTCTTTTGCTTATGTGGTGCTGAGGAATCGAACCCAGGGCCTCATGCATGCAAGGCAAGCGCTCTACCACTGAGCCACCTTCCCAGCCCTATACTTTTAATTCTTATACCCTAAATCCTTACTCCAAATCTGTGTATGTGTATGAGAAAGAGAGAGACAGAGACAGAGAGAGACAGAGACAGAGACACAGAGACAGAGTCAGACAAAGAGAGAGAGAGAGAGACGGGGCAGGGAGAGAGGGAGAGAGACAGAGAGACAGTGTTAGTATCAGGGCTTGAACTCAGCCTCACACTCTTACTTGGCTTTCTTACTCTACCATTTAAGCCAGGCCTCTAGCCCAGCTTTTTGCTGGTTAATTGGAGATGAGATTCTTGACTCTGCCCAGACTGGCATTAAACTAATCTTCCAGGCCTTAGCTTCCTGACTGGTTAGCATTAAAGGTGTGGGCCGCCATTTTTTTTTAACATTTTCTTTTTTTTTTTTTTTTGGTCAGTCATGGAACTTGAACTCTGGGCCTGGGCACTGTCCCTGCACTCTTCAGTTCAAGGCAAACACTCTACCGCTTAAGACACAGTACCACTTCCAGTTTTCTGTTGGTTAATTGGAGATGAGTCTCCTGGACTTTTCCTGTCGGGCTGGCTTTGAACCACGATTCTCAGATCTCAGCCTCCTGAGTAGCTAGGATTACAGGCATGAATCACAGACACCCAGCTAAACATTTTCTGTATTATAGTCTGGACTGGCCTCAAATTCACAATCCTTCTTCTCCAGTTTCCCAGATGTTTAGAGTAGCATTGTGCACCAGCACACCTGACTCCCTTACTTCATTGGCTCTTCTTATTTTTCCAAATTGTAAGACGTCAGCTTTTTAACCTGACTTTCCTATCCAGCCTAGTGTACCTGCTCTCTAATTCTTTTACCAGCAACATGAATCTCCTTCCACTGTTCCTCTGTTATACCATCCTGGCTAAAGTCCAACCATGGATAAATTCAATTATCTCTCTCTACTTGACATAGACTGCTTAGAGTTGCTAAAGAAAATCATGCTTCTGCAGACACGGTGCTACCAAGTATGAATTACAGTCTTTGTTATCTGAATGTCACTGTTATATATCCCTGGTTTGCATCTTTTTTGGCAATCTCAGGAATTATTTCAAATCTTTATCCCCTTTTAAAGCTCAAATCACACCTACCTTTTTCCTGATTAGATGACTTAAACTTTCTCAATGCTCTACTCCAACCAATAATTTTTTCTGTCTTTAGATTCATACTTCCTTTTTGAATTGATTAATCAATTTATTATTGTGATATAGGACCTTGAACAGGCTAGATGAGTGCTCTATCACTGAGCTACACCCCCATCCCTCTACTATTTTAAAAGTATCCTCCTTCCAGTCAAGGACTAATTTGACTGCTAAAATTTACCTCCTCATGACTGTCAATTTTCCTTCACCATCTTCTGTTTCCAACAACTTACTCCCTATTGTCTTCTTCCCATCAGCATGTAAACAAATATACTCCTCCTTCCTTGGCCATGCCTTTTCCTCTCATAGCACAGTGCCTTCCCATGTGGACACTCAAGTATTTCTTAATCCTTGTATATGAAGAATAGCAATCTAGTTAAGGAGAGTAGTTACGTTCATAGTGAAAGTTGAGTCACAATACAAATCATTATAAGTCATTATAGCAGTGGTTTCCAAACTTGTCTGTACATTAGAACTAAACTGAAATATTTCAAAAACTCTAAAATCCAGGTCATATCTATATCAATTAAATAACAATCCTTGGGGATAGAAGACAGGCATCAATACTTTTTGAAGCTCCCAATGAGATTCTAACATGCAGACAAATTTGTGAACTAACACACTATACATGGAACAGTAAAGAAAGATTTCAGGGAAGTCTAGTTTGAGCTGGTTTAATGGTTTTCAAATGGCTCAAGTTGTAGAACATCTGGAAGCTACTGTATATTCCTAGAAAAACAGCATGCCATCTGCATCCCTCTCCCTCATATGCTTCGCCTATCTTACACACATTGCATAAATACTCATACCTACTCACTGGGCAAATTCTACTTGTTTCAAATCCTTCTAAGCAAACCTCACAGGCAGAAAACAGGGATTCTTCCCACAATTCTCTCACTAAACATTGAAACTATATATTTCTTTTTTTCTTTTTCTTTTTTTTTTAAGACAGAGTCTTGCTATGTAGTCCAAGCTTGTCTTGAATGTTTGATCCTCTTGCCTCAGCCTCCCAAATTCTAGGATTTCACCCATTGTCAAGATAATTAGTTATGTATAATTCTTTAAGAGCAAAAGTATATGAGACAAGATACTTTATATACTTTATATCACTTTATATATTTTAGCTGTGGGGCTAAAAAACAAAAAGCCAACATTTATTCTGCATTATCCTAGCACTCAGAAGGCTGAGCAGAAAGATTTGAGTTCAAGGCCAGCCTGGGCTATGTTCTGAGTTCCAAGTGAGTCTCTGTTTTATGTAACAAGACTGTCTCAAAAAAAAATGACAAGAGAAGGGAAGAGGGAAAGGGTTAAGAAAGTAATATAGATGGAATGAGTTTGATCAAAGTACATTATATGCATGCCATAAATATCACATTGAAGCTTTTTTTAAGGTTTTTTTTTTTTTGGTCGGTCGTGGGGCCTGAACTCTGGGACTGGGTGCTGTCCCTCAGCTCTTCAGCTCAAGGCTAGCGCTCTACCACTTGAGCCACAGCGCCACTTCCGGCTTTTTTCTTTTTTGCTTATGTGGTGCTAAGGAATCGAACCCAGGTCCTCATGCATGCAAGGTAAGCACTCTACCACTGAGCCACTTTCCTAGCCCACATTGAAGCTTCTTTATAGAATTAATTTATACTAATAAAAATTGTTAAATATACTAAGTATAAGTACACATGCATAACTACATATATTATAAATAACATACATATTATTGGATGTATTCTTAGATTCAAAAACTTAAAATATTAAAAAGTCAGTTTTACATTACCATGTAAACTAAAGGCAGCTTGATAAAACAAAAATGTGATTGTAATGTATATTTTCATTTTGAAAAATCATAACGATACACGGTTCACCATTACAAATTTGACTGTGCTCTTAAGAAGATATTAACATTTTCTTGAATTCAAGTCATAAACTACCTAAAAATATAACTCCTTCCATAAAAGGAGAAGAAAGAAATTATCCTATATTCATAGGTGATATATATAAAAATATTTTACTTACCTGAGTAGAGAATAAGGCTGTGTTTGAAAGATCAATAAATCATTACAGTGACCCTAATAAACATAAAGAAGGACTGATAAGGAATTTTGATAAAAATAACAGTGCAGTAGTAGATCTTTTTCAATTTTATAAATGTAAAAGAAAATATAAATGAGAAAAAAATCTCTCACTGGTAACACAAATGTATGTATATATACACAAACACAAGCATACATATATACATACACATAACTGCTACCCTCAAACTTTAGTTACCAAATTTAAGTGACCAAATTTTATGTAATAGTCTACATAATTGTAAATACAAAAATCAGAAATAAATTATTTTATAATAGTGAGTTTAAAATTATAGTAATAAAACAAACAAACAAACAAAAAGGATAATAGTAAAGCCAGGTGCTGGTGGTTCATGCCTATAATCCTGGCAACTCAGGAGGCTAAGATCTGAGGATTGCAGTTCAAAGCCAGCCCAGGCAGGAACGTCCATGAGACTTTTATCTCCAATTAACCACCAGAAAACTGGAAGTGGCTATGTGGCTCAAGTGGTAGAGTGCTCCCCTTGAGCTGAAGAGCTCAGGGACAAAACCCAAGCCCAGAGTTCAAGCCCCACGAACAACATAAAAAAAGATAGTAGTAGTGGGTACTGGTGGCTCACATCTGTAATCCTAGCTAGTCAGGAGGTGGAGATCTGAGGATTATAGTTTGAAGCTAACTGGGGCCAGAAAATCCATGAGACTTTTTTTTTTTTTTTGGTCGGTTGTGGGGCTTGAACTCTGGGCTTGGGCGCTGTCCCTCAGCTCTTCAGCTTAAGGCAAGCACTCTACCACTTGAGCTACAGCGCCACCTCCGGTTTTCTGGTGGTTTATTGGAGATAGGAGTCTCACAGTCTTTCCTGACTGGGTTGGCTTTGAACCTCGATCCTCAGATCTTAGCCTCCTGAGTAGCTAGGATTACAGGCGTGAGCCACCAGTGCCAGGCAATCCATGAGACTTTTATCCCAATGAAGCACCAAAAATCGCAGAAGTGGAGTTACAGCTCAAGTGGCAGAGCAGTAGGGTCCTTGAGCTGTTTTACTCAAGGACAGTGTCCAGGCCTTGAGTTCAAGCCCAGGACCAGCACACACATACACACACAGACACAGACATAGACACACACACACATACACAAATGATAATAGCAATTAGTATACTTTTTAAAGAACTATTTCTGCAAATAACTCTTCTTTTAAAATCTCTTTGTTCTGTCTCTCTTTTCTAGGTGGGCCCTATTGCTCTGTTGGGGATCCAAGTCAGGCCTTGAAGGGTATAAGACACGCCAGACCAACCAACCTCCACCACCAAACTACTCTCCAGCCTATTCCCTCTAGATTATTTCTTTCTTCATCCTCTCTCTCTCTCTTTGTCGATCATGGGGCTTGAACTCTGGGCCTGGGCACTGTCCCTAAGCCTCTTTGTGCTCAAGGCTAGTGCTCTACCACTTGGGCCACAGCTCTATTTCTTGCTTTTTTTTCTGGTTAATTGGAGATAAGTGTCTCATGGACTCAGTAATTTTTAATCAAAATTATTAGTTTAATGATAAAGTTTTATTCTAAATAAAGATTTCTTTTAGGTTTATTTTGTTTTGCTTGATATAGAGTCTCATTATGTAGCTCAGGCTGATCTGGAACTCAAGATCCTCCTACCTCAACTTCCTGAGTAAGGGCTGGAATTATAGCAGTGTATTACCATACCCAACTTGTAAATAAAATCTCCAAGAGAGAAAAGACAAACCATGAAAGCAAACTATGTTTGTTCGTTATTGTTGTTTTTGTAGTACTGTTGCATGGTGCATGCTAGGCAAAAAAATTGCTATTTAATTAAATGCAAACTTGTGGCCTTAAGCTGGTAGTGCAACACTAAATCCTCAGCTAACAAAAGCTCTATAACTCTCAATATACACAACATTTTTTTAATATGCTGGGAGTAGGGTTTGAACACAAAACCTTGAACTCTTGCTTGGTTCATTTGCTCAAGGCTAGTATTCTACCCCTTGAGTCACACCTATATTCTGGATTTTTGCTGGTTAAATGGAGATAGGAGTATCTCAGACTTATCTGCTCAGACTGACTTTGAACCATGATCCTCAGCACCTCATCCTCTTGAGTAGTAAGGATTACAGATATGAGCCACTGGTGCTCAGCCATCACAGGTACGGTATCTAGGTTGGTGGCCGCAGGACTATAAAACAAACCAAATTTCCTGGAGAGGAAAAACTTTTTTTTTTTGAGATTTGCTGCTTTGCTGAATTACTTGTACCTGGACATGAGAGAGACATTTACCCTCTTGGCTAGATTCTGCCCTGTGCCCTGTCCCTGACCACTCAGACTTCTTGCTCTCAAGTGTGTTACACAAACCAGAATGATTTTAAATTCCTATATTGCATAATATATGACATATGAATGTGGCCAGCCTCTTCTGAGTTTCCAATGGGCCAGCAGTAAAGAAACAATACTTTCTAAATGCTGCTCATGTATTCCTTTGGGTTTACTTTTTTTTTTTTTTTTGTCGGTTGTGGGGCTTGAACTCTGGGCCTGGGTGCTATCCCTCAGCTCTTCAGCTCAAGGCGAGCGCTCTACCACTTGAGCTACAGCGCCACCTCCGGTTTTCTGGTGGTTTATTGGAGATAGGAGTCTCACAGTCTTTCCTGCCTGGGCTGGCTTTGAACCTCGATCCTCAGATCTCAGCCTCCTGAGTAGCTAGGATTACAGGCATGAGCCACCAGTGCCCGGCTTGGGTTTACTTTTATCACATTTTAAAACTGGAATACTTTATACTTCTAATGTAAACTGCAACATAGGCAGTTGCAAAGAAACATAAAAGACAAATAAAATAAACTTTAAACAGGGCTGGAGATGTGGCTTAGTGATAGAGTACTTGCCTAGCATGCATGAAGCCCTGGGTTTAATTCTTCAGTACCACATAAACAGGAAAAGCAGATATGACTCAAGAGGTAGAGTGCTAGTCTTGAGCAAAAGAAGCTCAGAGACAGTTCCCAGACCTTGAGTTCAAGCCCCAGGACTGGCCAAAAAAATAAATAAACAGCAAACAAACTTTAAGCACTTCAAAAAAATAACTTCCACTTGAGGAAAGTAGTTAGTGGGTAAGATTCAGAAGGAATAAAGAGAGAGCTTTAACAGTACTGGTGGTATTCTAGGTCCTACCTTGGTGAATCTCATGGGAATTTTTTATTATATTAAGCATACATGTAGGTATTCTTTTTATACATCAAGTATTATACACAGATTCTTTAGTCCAATAGAATTACAAACATTCATACTATAAGGCTCAAAGAGAAAATCATGCTTTAAAAGCTCTTATAATAATTGGCTAATGAAATGAATAGGCCTAGCTAGGCATCAGTAGCTCACACCTGTGATCCTAGCTACTAAGGAAGCTGAGATCTGAGTATCAAGGTTTGAAGTCAACCTGGACAGGAGAGTATGTTAGACTCTTATCTCCAATTGATCACCAAAAAGTTAAATTTAGAGTTCAAATGGTAGAATGCTACTTTAAATAGCATAATTACTCAGAGAAAATACAAGATACAAGATTTTCTTACTGTGTCCAAAGAAAGTAAATCATCTTTGCTTCCACCAAATACCATTATTTCATTTTCTTTTCCCAAACAGGCTGTGTGCCATAACCTATAAGTGAAATTATAAACAGAGTGAAATATTATGAAGGAAGAAACTGTATATGGCATATAAATCAATCCCAAACTACATACTTCAAGATTTAATCTATTCAAATGGGGATAATTTAAACATTTCTCTAGAGTTCATGAAATCACATCATTTCAGTTAAGGAAATGATTCCTACAGCTCTATTATATCTCCCACCTTTCTAACCCTTCATCTCATGCACACTATCCTTGAAATAATATAAATTCAAAAGAAACTGTGCCCTCTGTTGCTGCGATAGGCACCTTTCCTGGCCCTTTTACTAGTGCATCGGCCAGGTTACTATTCTCATCATATTTTCCCTTTCTTTCCTTCTCTGTCCCTCACCAGCTGACAAATTCAATGTAGCATTCCCTTCACATTTCTATATTCAAATCACCCGTCAGTCTGGGTACAGAATACCATATGTCATTGTTATTTTTTGTCTCTAATCTCCCCAGCAACATAGAGCAAATAAATAGTTGTGGGACTTGAACTCTGGCCTGGGTGCTGTCCCTGAGCTCTTCAGCTCAAGGCGAGCACTCTACCACTTGAGCCACAGCGCCACTTCAGGTTTTCTGGTGGTTAATTGGAGATAAGAGTCTAATGGACTTTCCTGCCTGGGCTGACTTTGAACCATCATCCTCAGAACTCAGCCTCCTGAATAGCTAGGATTATAGGCGTGAGCCACTGGTACCGAGTTCCAGCTCCTTTGTGCATTAGTTAGGGTCTCACTTGATGCCCAGACTGGCCTGGCATGCTCCCTTGAATAACTGGGGATGACAACTGCACAGCCTTTGTGCTTCTCATGTAGATGGGATAATAGATGTGTGGCACCATACCCAGCCATTGGTTGAGATGGAGTCTCATGAACTTCTTTCTGCCCGGGCTGGCTTTGCATCATGATCCTCTGATCTCTATCTCCCAAGTAACTTTTATTTGGTAATAAAATAGATGACAAGTGATAATATAAACATTTTCAGCATGTTAATCTTTTTTACTTTAATCCCACAAGTGTAAAGTGAGAATATGTACAATTGTTAAGCCAAATTTTCTACCAATCACACACACATCCAGTGACAAATGCTGTTTGGGAAATATTCTGCCTAATTTTCAAATCATATGTTGGAACATAATTGGTATAAATTTTCAATAAGAATATAGTTTGTGTTGTAGGATATGGAGATTAGAGGAGGGATTTGGTAAAAAGAGATGGAATGCAAAGGATGCTCTCGCATATGGGAAGTATTACATTGATTTCCTGGGGAGAAGGCTATGGGTGAGCTTGGCAATACTAATAGGATTCAACAGAACTTAAGGCTCTAGACAAAATTTTATCTGACACTTTTTATGGACACATTATAAAAAGGTCCTTGCTGACAGCCACCTATACAGGTTTTTTTTTGTTTGATTTTTTTGGGTATCAGTCCTGAAGCTTGAATTCAGGGCCTGGGCACTGTCCCTGAGCTTTTGGGCTCATGGCTAGGGCTATACCACTTTGAACCACAAACCCATTTCCAGCTTTTTAATAATTAATTGGAGATAAGCATCTCACACACGGGCTTTCCTGCCAGGGCTGGCTTTGAACTGCAATCCTCAGATCTCAGCCTCCTGAGTAGTTAGGATTACAGTTTGTGAGCCATCAATGCCTGGCTACAGCACTGTTTTGTCTAAAGTGAGGCCTAGAGAAGAGTTTTACAGTGTACAACAGTGGTTCTCAACCAGGGGTGATCTGTCCCTCAAAGGAAGACGGATTTACAGATTTTTTTTTTTTTTGATCGGTCGTGGGGCTTGAACTCTGGGCTTGGGCGCTATCCCTCAGCTCTTCAGCTCAAGGCAAGCGTGCTACCGCTTGAGCTACAGCACTTCTTCCGGTTTTCTAGTGGTTTATTGGAGGTAAGAGTCTCACAGACTTTCCTTCCTGGGCTGGCTTTGAACTGTGATCCTCAGATCTCAGCCTCCTGAGTAGCTAGGATTACAGGCGTGAGCCACCAGTGCCTGGCAGATTTACAGATATTTAAGAATATCTGTAAATTTATTTTTTGGTTGCCACAATTTGGAGAGAGGAAAGGTAGTATTCTTTACATTTAGGGGCAAAGGCTAACAATACTGCCAAACATCCTACAGTATACAGGACACCCTGACAATAAAGAATTTTTTTATTCAAAATGTCAGTAGTGCTGAGGTTGAGAAGCTCTGCTTCAGAATTCTAAAGGGAGTATGGGACAGTTTGCATTTCAAATTATGACTCTGAAATGTTTGCACAAAATGCACTTCGATTTTAAGCAAATTGTCACTTTCATTAAAATTATATACACATATATATTCTCCTTACACTCAACTGTACCCCACCTGTTCTCCTCCTCACCTCATACCTGAAGATAGATCTGCCTCTGTCTTATCTGCCTGAGGGAAACTCTGGCCTGGACTTCATCACCGAAGAACACTGGAAAGCCTTTCCTGCCTTGATTTTGGTGACATCTAGCTTGCAAACTGATGTGTTTTCTACAGACTGACAGTGTATGTTCTCTCACAGCTGCTCTAAACTTATCACCTAAACATTCTAATAAAGCATATTATTTACATGACACATCAGTTGAATCAAAAGAAATCTCTTTACATAGCTCTAGTTCTAACTAGTATATTATTGACAATAGTTGTTTTGTTCAAATTACAGATAATGGTTGAAATATAAAAGTCAATTAAAAATTAAACATATTTTAGTATTACTACAATTAATGTATTCATATAATAAAAAAAAACCTTACAAATTAGGTAGCTAAACTCATTTCTGAAAGGAGAAAAATGATGCTCAATTTCTTTAAAGTTTTTGTTTTTGTTTTTAATTTAAAGCCAGAAAGCTAAACAGTAGCAAAGATTAAAATTCTGGTCTGCCATATCTTAATATAAAACTCTTTAAATACATGTTGTAAAAGATCTAGAACTATTAAAATAACATATTACAATTATTTGCATACATGAAAATAAGAATCACATCTGTGCTTATGATAGAATCTAAATATATATTAAGATTATTAATATAGAGATACCTACAAAAGTATATCTAAATATTTTAGGTCTTTTTCATAAATTTACTTAATTATTATTAAACTGACTTCATCTGGTATAAATGTAGAATTAAAAAGTTCTACAATGTATAGCATGAAAAAAGAATAAAATTTGTTATTGGCTATAATTATTATTATATGCAGAATCTGAATTGCCTATTAAGATATTTTTATTGTACTATTCAACCAAATCTGAAAAAAAGAATTACAATAATATTGTGTTGTTCGTTATTGTCAAATAGTAACATGCTATTTCTACAACAGATAATATATTTTTTTTCAAAAGTTCACATGAATGAATATACCAGTTAATAAAGAAAATAAAGTTAATAAAGAAAAATAATTGGCTATCTACTAAATCAACATGAAAAAATTTCCTCATTAAATTGTTTTAAATTTCTTCAAAAACAACTACTACTGAAGCCAATACTTTTCTGGTTTACTTGCTAAAAAATATTAATATTTTAGGTGGGGGGTAGGGGGAAGATGGGAAGGGATGGGAAGGGGAAACAAAGGAGGAGGCTACAATGCTTGATAAGAAATGTACTTATTATCTTGCCGATGTAATTGTAATCCCTCTGTACAGTATTTTCACAATAAAAAGAACTAGAAAAAAATTAACATTTAAAAAAATTAACATCACATTTTAAGTTATCTTATGCTTTCCATATTTAGCAGTCATGATTATTCATTTATCTAAATGAAAAACATGTTCAAATAAGCAAATAAGGGAGAAAACGATAATTTCTAACAATTAGCTATAAGCAAAATTATTTAGATAACATAAAGTTTATTTGAAAGGTTATCTTTCCTGATGCTTTATAATTTCAATGACAAATACTATAAATTCTGTGCTATATTTTTTAATATTCAAAATTCTTAACTATCTTATCACTTGTCAAATTCTCAGCTTACCTAGGTCTTGTGTTAGGTAAATGTATAAGTGGTTTCCAACAATTTGTTAAGACATTATAAATCCATCCATCACCTGCAACATTATGACAAGTTCAGAAATTAACATTAGTTGTCTGGGATATAATTTTAATTTTCAAGGTTAATGTGTTATATTTATATAATTATCTTGTATGTATATAATTTTTTTCATAAACATTTTCAAACATATGTAAAAGTAGAATGACCCATATATCCCAGACTCAACAACTATCAAGGTTTGGGGACAGAAATGTAGCTCAGCAGTACAGCATGCACCTAACACACAGCTCTAGGTTCAATTCCAAGCACTAAAAAAAAGAAGGTGGCTGGGAAGGTGGCTCAGTGGTAGAGCGCTTGCCTTGCATACTTGAGGCCCTGGGTTCGATTCCTCAGCACCACATAAGCAAAAAGAAAAAAGCCAGAAGTGGGACTGTGGCTCAAGCAGTAGAGCGCTAGCCTTGAGCTGAAGAGCTGAGGAACAGCGCCCAGGCCCAGAGTTCAAGCCCCAGGACCGGACCCAAAAAAATAAAAAATAAAAATAAATAAATAAATAAAAGAAGGTGACTTTGTACTGAAATCATCTCTTTGTGTTGTTCTTGTTGCTGAGTTATTAAGTGAAATCCTAGATCTTCTATCATTTCCACATACACACTTGAGTATGAGTTGTTCAACAAAATGGACACCTCTGTTACATAACCACGTTGCCATTTTCACAGTCAACATAGCTAAAATATTTTTTTGTATTCACATGATTAAATCTTAAGCTGAATCTATGAGAGAGGAAACCAAGTAGACTAAGTTAGGCCATTAAATTCCCAGAGGCCAATGACCAAAAATAAGAATTTAAAACACTAGATTTCATGAAGTTATGGTATTAAACATTCAGTGAAATGTTTACATGCTAGTTTTTTCTCTTTTTTTTTCTTTTTTGTTGGCCGTGGGGCTTGAACTCTGGGCTTGGGTGCTGTCCCTCAGCTCTTCAGCTCAAGAGGAGCATGCTACCGCTTGAGCCACAGCATCACTTCTGGTTTTCTAGTGGTTTATTGGAGATAGGAGTCTCACGGACTTTCCTGCCCAGGCTGGTTTTGAACAGAGATCCTCAGATCTCAGCCTCCTGAGTAGCTACAATTACAGGCTTGAGCCACCAGTGCCTGGGGCTCCTGCTAGTTTTCTTAGATTCAAATTTCTTCTAACTTAAATCCTTACAAATTTGGAAAGAATAATAATCTACACAATACCTGATATCCCTAACTAGGAAATGTTTTATTTTTTCCAACCAGCTTCTGGACTTTGATGGCCAGCAGACTTCCAAATGTACTTTCAATGCTAAATGAATTTTAAAATAATAAAATTTTATTTTATTTATTTACACTAAGGGTCTTGTTCTTGATGGCTGCTTTCTACCACTTAAACCTATCTCTGGTTTTTTGTTTTTTGTTTTCTTCTAGTCTTGGGGCCTGAACGCAGGGCCTGGGCACTATCCCTGAGTTTCTTTTGCTCAAAGCTAACACACTACCATTTGAGCCACTTTTGGCTTTTTCTGTTTATGTGGTACTGAGAATGTATGCTAGGCAAGCACTCTACCACTAAGCTACATTCCCAGCCCCTGCTTTTTTTTTTTTAATTGTTGTTGTTGTTATCTTAGAGATGGGATCTAGTGAAGTTTCCTGCCTCGGCTGGATTTGCACTATGATCCACCAGATCTTAGCCACTGAGTAAGTTAGGAATGTAGATGAGAGCCTCAATAAAAATAAATAGTTGTCTCTAGATTCTATATGAAATTATATAAATGGTTTTTAATGATATATAAAGTTTCTTAATAAAAACATCTCTAGTTATGGAAAATATCTGAGTTAAGAAAATACAATACATAGGATTGAAAGTGGGTCTAGAGCTGGTGCAAGCTGAGCAAGCAAGCCTAGCAAACACAATGCCCTAAGTTCAAACCTTGTTACTAGCAAAAAAGAAAGAAGGGGGAAAAAAGACAATATCTCAAATCAAGAAGTACCTTAATGCCACAGTTTTACTGCTGAAAGTATAACTGCATTACAAAACACATAGCTATTGGGATTAGCGGCAACAGGAGTTACAGAAGTTTGCTTATAGATTTGGGGAAAAAAAGAAGAAACTGTCCTTCACACGTTATACTTCAAGAGCCTTCTAGGCAAGGCTGGTCTTCTAATCCACATTCTAACATTCTAGCCTACAGTACAAGTACCTGGATCAAAACTCAGGACACAGAATCACAGAATATGACAGCGGAAAGGGGCTTTAATTTAGCTAGGTTCATAATATTTCCTTTCCTCTATACTTTGGAAACAATACAAAAGCAAAGAGCTTTCCACCTTTCTGTTTTTTTCTTTTCTCTCTTTCTTTCACGTTCTCTCTCTCTCTCTCTCTCTCTTTCTGCTCAGGATTGAACCTAGTGCATTGAGATTCCCTCTCATATGCAAGCAGAGTTGAAGGCAAAGGGAGAAAAAGACATTCACTATACGTATGAAATACAATGAAGAAAAAAACGAGAAAACGTTTTTTTTTGGGGGGTTCCGGTCGTGGGGCCTGAACTCTGGGCCTGGACACTGTCCCTCCGCTCTTCACCTCAAGGCTAGTACTCTACCACTTGAGCCACAACGCCACTTCCAGCTTTTTTTCCCCTGCTTATATGGTGCTGAGGAATAGAACCCAGGGCCTCATGCATGCAAGGCAAGAGCTCTACCACTGATCCACCTTCCCTAGCCCATGAGACAACATTGTATGGCAAACTTTACTTACTTAATGGAATATTATCTGCACTTAATCCACCAAATAGGAAAAGCTTATCATCAGCTATTGGTGTTAAAGTATGCCATGACCGATGTTTTGGGCTTTCTCCATTAATAGAAATCCTGTGAAAAAGGCAAAAATTAAAATCTAAGTACTATATTAGACAATAAAAGACATTTGGTCATCCCACATCTTTTTTTTCTTTTTTCTTTTCTTTTAGACAGGGTCTTACTATGTAGCTTAGGCTAGCCTCAAACTCATGATGCTTCTGAGGGTTTGAGTGCGAGGATTACAGCATATGGGAAAAAAATTAAAAGGAATTAATTTTACTAGTCCTACGTATATGGTGGGAATGTTTAAAAATATTCTTAAATTCTGAAATTAATTTAAGCAATTTATTTTCATTTAATGTCATGTTCACTTGAACAAAGAATAGAGATGAAAAATAAAAGCATTTCTCAATTCATTAATAATGTGTACTGGCATCATTCCTGTTGGTTAAACGGTATTCTTCTCCAGTTTTTCAACATAATTATTTTCATGCCCATTACTATTTTTTACTGTTGTTATATGTTTCAGTTTTTGTTTGTAGCTGATTTCTTCAAAGATATTTTAAGTTTTTTTTTAAATTTTCTGTCTACTGGCAGAAGTGCCTAAAGAATTTCAGTATTTTCAAGTTTCACATAGCTTTATATGTTTATAAAAATAAACTCCATTGAGTCGCTTTCATTTACTTTTACTGAGTAAATATTACTACTAGCAATTGAGAGGCTGGGGCAAGATGATCATGAGTTCAAGATCAGCCTGGGCTACACAGCAAGACAGCCTCACAAATAAACAAAAATGAGGAGGTTAAGAAAAAATAGTATAGAGAGGGTAAATTTGATTGGAAAAACTCTTCAAATATTTTATTCCTTGCTTAGACTATAATCTGAAAAAATACTCTCTCAATCATAGGAAATGAAATTGGGATTACAAGGACACATACACACAGCTATAGATTATAAAACATTGATTTCAAACTTACTTTCCAGACCAAATCCAGGTATCTAAGTTGAGATAATGCAAGTCATTCATCCTCGTTTGCTAAAATAAAAGTGTGTTAATTCGACAGTGTTTTTACATCATTTATGGGCTCAAATGTTAGTTTTTAAATAAGCTCAGATTAAAAATATACTATTCTCTATTCTACCTACCATTAGAAGTTTGAATACTGGGAATAATTAAGCATTAAAATTAACATAGAGCTCTGAAATTATGTGTCAAAGTGGAAAAAAACAAGTTTAAAGTAACATGGTTTAGATGATAAGAAAATAGTTTTTCCTGCTCTTTTACAGAAGTGAAGGTTTCTCTTCATTAGCCTATGATACATAATCATCTGTAATTGTTTGCATATGGTATGGATTGGAAACAAGATAATTAAGTTACTATTAAATGCCATTTAAGTTTCTAGATTATTAGAATGTTCAACTGTTCCACAAAATCATAAGATAAATTTTTATAAGAAGTATCATTTAAAAAATGCTATTTCTATTGAAAACACTAACCAAAACACGTCCACCAAAGATATAACCCTTATTTCCAAGAACTGCACACGTATGCGCTGCTCGTGGCTGTGGTGGAACTCCACCCTGCAAGTAGAGATCAAAACAGAGTGCAGACTTGAAACATCGATAATAATCACATTTATATGCTCAGTATGAGAAATGCCTGAGAACTAAGTTGCCATTACTTAGGTAATTCAATTAAAACCATAAGGAAAAGTTCATCCTAAAGGATAATTATGGAAAAATAACTACTCGTAATAAAACTTATTCACCCTAATTTTTACTTTTAAAAATGTTTTCGGGATTGTATTAACAAAATAACATTTCATAAATATAAACTTAAAATATAGGGATTTAAAAAATCAAATAAAAACTATCTTTATTTTTCACACATACACACAAACACACAACTAATATTAGGAGTGATAGTATAGGATGTGATGAACTTAGAAACTCTAAAATATTAATTATGATCCTCAAATTAACAAAAACACATTTACTGTTGGCTTAGGTCAAACAGTATTTTATCTTTTCTTAAAATTTTTTTTCAGTACTGTGGTTTGAATTCAGGGTCTCAAACTTGCTATGAAGGCTCTCTACTATTTGAGCCAAACTCTAGCTTTTTTTTCTAAAACTCTTAACATTAAAAAATATTTTTCTATAGGGGCTGGGAAGATGGCTCAGTGGTAGAGCACTTGCCTTGCATGCCTGAGGCCCTGGGTTCGATTCCTCAGCACCACATAAGCAAAATGAAAAAAGCTGGAAGTGGCGCTGTGGCTCAAGTGGTAGAGCTCTAGCCTTGAGCTGAAGAGCTGAGGGACAGCAACCAGGCCCAGAGTTCAGGCCCCACAACCGGACCCAAAAAATATATTTTTTTCCTATAGTTTATTTCAATACATAGAGCAGATATTTTTTCTCTTTTGTAAAGTTTTGAGTTGTTAAGAAAAGAAAATAGGGGTCAATGGCTGAATAAGATTTGGAAGACCCAAACGGGTAACAGTGGCTCATACTTGTAATCCTACTCAGAAACCTAAGATCTGAGCATCCCTGATGGAGCCTAGCCCAGAAAGGAAAGTCTGTGAAACTCTTATCTCCAATTTAAAATAATACCAAAAGCCAGAAGTGGATCTGTGGAAGAATGCTAGTCTTGAGCACAAAAGTATGGGGGCAATGCCCAGGTCCTGAGTTCAAGCTCCAGGATCAGCTGTCCAGACATACACACACAAAGGGGTAAGCAAATGCAGCAGTGGAACTCAGTAGACAGTGTTGAAATTGAACTATAGAACATGGGCAGGAACAGGAGGGAAAAACTGGGAGAAAGAGAAGGAAATGGTGATGTTGTCCAAGAAATGTACTTATTACTTGACTTACGAAGCAGTAACAGTAACCCCTCTGTACATCACCTTTATACACACACACACACACACACACACACACACACACACAATTTCTTTTGCCAATCCTGAGTCTTCAACTCAGGGCCTAGGCTGTGTCCCTGTGCTTATTTTGCTCAATGCTAGCAGGCTAGTGCTCTACAGCACCAGTTCCAGCCTTTTCTGATTAGTTTATTGGGGATTAAATGTCTCATACTTTCTTGCCCAGGCTGTCTTTAAATCATGATCCTCAGATCTCAGCCTCCTGAGTAGCTAGGATTATAGATATGAGCCACTGGCACCTGGCATAATAACATTTTTTATTTTTACTAAAAAAAGGTAGGGGAGCTAGGAATGTGGCTGAGTGGTAGAGTGCTTAATTAGCATGCAGCCCTGGGTTCTATTCCTCAATACCACATAAATAGAAAAAGCTAGAAATGGTGCTGTGGTTCAAGTGGTAGAGTGCTAGACCTGAGCAAAAAGAAGCTCAGGGACAGTACCCAGGCCCTGAGTTCAAGCCCCAGGACTGGCAAAAAAAGTGGGGCAGGGAGGAAGCCGGGCGCCAGTGGCTCATTCCTGCAATCCTAGCTACTCAGGAGGCTGAGATCTGAGGATCACAGTTCAAAGCCAGCCTGGGCAAGAAAGACCGTGAGACTCTTATCTCCAATAAACCTCTCAGAAAACCAGAAGTACTATTGTGGCTAAAGTGGTAGAGCACTAGCCTTGAGCTAAAGAGCTGAGGGACAGCACCCAGGCCCAGAGTTCAAGCCCCACGACTGACAAAAAAAAAAAGTGGCGGCGGGGGTTGAAGAAAAAGTTATAGTGGTTATAGCTCAGTATAGAGTATGTGTGCAAGAACAACAGAAAGGAGGCAAGCAAGGAAGAACAAAAGATTTGAGAGAAGAGCTATCTGTAAAATTTCCATTTACTCTTGATGGATGCCTTTGTGAATATATTTTGTTCCAAGTTTTGAAAGAACTTAACATTTTCAGCTCATTGGCTACTGACTAGTCATAGAAAATTTAAGCTCTACATCTAGTAATATAATTTCCTAGACTTTTCAGGCTTACTTGAATAACCGTGTTTAGATCAACTGGCTAAGAAATAATTTCCATTTTTCTTGTGTAGTAATAAATGAGAAAGAACTATTTAAGAGTTTTGGTTCTTAGTTCTTTCATCAACAAAATTTTTACTATTCCTTTATCATAGCAGCTTCAGACCTCTGCCTACTTTCTAAGGAAACAGAGCATTAAAAGGCTTGAAAGAGATGTAAGGTGGGCTGGGAATGTGGCTTAGTGGTAGAGTGCTTGCGTAGCATGCATCAAACCCTGGATTTGATTTCTCAGTACCACATAAAGAGAAAACGCCAGAAGTGGTGCTGTGGCTCAAGTGGTAGAGTGCTAGTCTTAAGCTAAAGAAGTTCAGGGTCAGTGTCCAGGCCTTGAGTTCAAGCCCCAGGACTGACAAAAATAAAAAAATCTAAGGTTAGTTTCAATAGAATCAGTCTCAATATTTCTCTCCACCTACCTGCTGACATGAAATTATCTTAATAGAGGCAAAAGTCCTTTTATTTCACTAATAAAATTCAAATGGTGATTTAAGGTTAATCTAATTTACAAATACAAATAACTGAATGCTTCTAAAATTAGAAATGGGGTTGAGACCAAAAAACACTGGACACTTGAAATTCACTGATCAGAAAAAGCAGATGAAGAGATGGTCAAACCCAGTAGCAAACACTTAACATTTATTAAAAAATTTCCTATCATTTCCATCAATAGAAGTCATAAATGCATGTTAATAGACAATGTTCATTTTAGTGATTTTTTTCTTTTGGTTGAACTTAGAACTCAGGGCTTTTGTTTTGTTTTGTTTTTGACGGTCATGGGGCCTGAACTCTGTGCCTGGGCACTGTCCCTCAGCTATTCAGCTCAAGGCTAGCACTCTACCACTTCAGCCACAGTGTCACTTCTGATTTTTTCTGTTTATGTGGTGCTGAGGAATCGAACCCAGGGCCTCATGCATACAAGGCAAGCACTCTACCACTGAGCCACCTTCCCAGCCCATAGAACTCAGGGCTTTAAATTTATTAGGCAAGCTCTCTGCAACTTGACTCATACCACTAGCCTGACAATATTAGTTATCTCTACTTAGCACTCCTTGCTATTCAGTTCTGGTGATCTTATCAGTTATAACACCCTGTTCCTCCTTGGGCGAGCAAGTGACTCAAGACTGGCTAGTCATCCTCCCAGCAATATGGGGGCTATAAAGAATTTTAAAAAGCCCAATTAAAGGCAGAATTCTCTTCCAAGATTAACATATAGATATTGACAGTATATAATAGAAAGAACTGCTGTGTATACAGGGCCCTATTCCTTCGTAAAAGGTAGTAGATGGCATGAAGCAAGCACACAAAGAGAAGTAGCAAATAGTACTTCAATAGAAATAGAAAATGTAATGGTGGTATGGAGTAATATGGTTCAGTTCCTGGGGTGCTGTTCCTGGTGGCTCTTTCATTGTGTGAGCCATTCCAAATTGCTTGAATTAATTGGAATTTCTTTGGGTCACTTGAAAATGGAAGCATATGGAACAGATATATGTGTCATGCTGTAACTGCATATGGCTATGATTTCATGGGCATTAGGCTGGGAATGGTTCTCAGTCTTAAGTAGCATGGGAGAGACCTTAGTGAGCAGAGAAAATAAAGACAAACAAACAAACATAAATTTTATTATCAAAGGACTTTTTGTGGGGGGAGTAATGGGGCTTGAACTCAGGGCCTGGGTGCTGTCCCTGAGCTTTTGTATGTACAAGGCTAGTACTCTACCACTTGGAGCCACAGCTTCACTTTTAGTTTTCTAGTGGTGAATTGAAGATAAAATTCTCACAGACTTTCCTGCTTGGGTTAACTTCAAACCACAATCCTCAGATCTCTGAGTAGCTAGGATTATAGATGTGAGCCACCAGTACTTGGATATCAAGACTTTTAAATTTTTTGTATGTGTTAATACTGGGACTTCAACTCCAAGTGTCATGTTCTCACTTGGATTTTCACTCAAGTAGAACACTCTATCACTTGAGCCAATAAAAAGGATTTTTAAAAAGAGATTTTATTAAATTGGGCATTATACTTGTGGATAAAGAATGATGATGGCTTCTCATTACCTTGCTCATGTAATTGTAACCCCTCTGTATGTATTTTTACAATTAAAAAAAAAGAATGATGATGGCACTCTTTAAAATATTTTTTCCCTAGAGAATCCTATCTGACCTGGAGAAAAATATGATTTAAAAAAAATGGTATTGGTAATAGCACCCAAAAAGAACTACTCTGAATATGATTACAAAAACAATTACTAAAATCTAAATAATTTAGTAATAAAATAGATTTTAAAATATCAATGAATATATGAGTATAAAGGTAACCTTTATATAACACTTACTTTAATTTCTGGCTGAAACCATGTCTGTGTCTTTGTGTCAAATACATGGACATCATTATGCCATCCCCAGAACATCTGTTCTTCCTAAAACAGAAAAATTAAGAATATTTAACAGTGCTATGTTTATATTATTCATTACAGTTTGTCATATATTGTGGCAAATATTAATAGACACCTTACAAAAATAGACTGCCCCACAAGGTATGGTCCCAGGACTAGCAGCCTCACTGGGCAAATTCTTATAGCATTGCTTGCAGTGAACTGCAAGTATACTAATTAAGCCAGCCATGGGTGGCTCATGCCTATAATCCTAGCTACTCAGGAGGCTGAGATCTGAGTATCGCGGTTCAAAGCCAGCCCAGGCAGGAAAGTCAGTGAGACTCTTACCTCCAATAAATCACTTAGAAAACCAGAAGTGGCATTGTGGCTCAAGTGGTAGAGTGCTTGCCTTGAGCTGAAGAGCGCAGGGACAGCACCAAAGCCCATAGTTCAAGCACCACGACCGACCAAAAAAAAAACAAAAAACTTTTTTTCTGAAGTCTCAAGTATGGCAAACTGGTAGCTCTTCAAAACTGAGAAAGTAGCAGGGTGCTGGTGGCTCATACCTATAATCCTAGCTACTCAGGAGGCTGAGCTCTGAGGATTATGGTTCAAAGCCACCCTAGGCAGGAAAACCCCTGAGACTCTTTTCTCCAATTAACCACCAGAAAACCTGCAAGTGGCAGAGCACTAGCCTTGAATAGAGAAGCTCAGAGACAGTGCACAGGCCCCCACAACCAAAATAAAATAAAATAAAGTTTGAAAAAAAGTACCAGACATTGGTGGCTCACACACAGAATCCTAGCTAGTCAGAAGGCTGAGGAATGAGGTTCAGAGCCAGCCTGGGCAGGAAAGTCTCTGTGACCCTTATTTCCAATTAAGTATGTAAAAGCTGATAATGGCACTGTGGTTCAAAGTAGTGAAGCTCTAGCTTGAGCACAAAATCTCAGGGCTACTGCAGGCTCTGAGTTCAAGCCCCAGGATGGGCAAAGTAAAATAAAGTAATTGAGAAAAATTAGGTTTACTATTTCTATGATATAAAGGCTACTGTAAATTAAAGAAAAATGTAGAGTGATTACTTTCTTACCCAAGATGCATCATGAACATCAAAACAGTCTTGAAGTTCATTGTGTCTCCTACATCCATAACCACCAAAATATATTAATCTGAAAAAAATACAAAAGAACAGCATTTAGAAACTCTAGTCTGTACATAGAAAACTGAAATATAGCCGGGTGCTGGTGGCTCACACCTATAATCTTAGCTATTCAAGAGGCTGAGATCTGGGGATCATGGTCCCAAGTCAGCCAAGGCAGGAAAGTCCATGAGACTCTTATCTCCAATAAACCACCAAAAAACCAGAAGTGGTCCTGTGGCTCAAGTAGTAGAGCACTAGCCTTGAGCTGAAGAGCTGAGGGACAGCGCGCAGACCCAGAGTTCAAGCCCCACGACTGACCAGAGAGAGAGAGAGAGAGAATTTTAACAGCCACAGGTAGGGTGGCATGACAAATAAGAGTTTTAACAAAACTGGTTATAGAAGTTTAAACCTACTCCCTAATTCTTTTGCATGGGGAGGGCTCAGGATGTCATCAAAAGCTAGAGGCAAGGGCTGGCTTTGTAGAAGACCATTGGCCTAGCATGTATGAAAACCTAGATCAAATCCTCAATACTGGGGACTGAAAACAAAGCAAAACAAAAAAAAATTATGGAAGCAGAGAACAGTTTTGGGACAATCTAAGCTTTCAAGTACTAAAGTTTAGAATTCACATAAACATGAACACTGTGAGGTATGCCAAGCCTTTACAACATATAGAGTGGCTACCCTCCAAAAGCCAGGGAGGAGCTGTGAGGCTGAAAAAGGTCTCCTAAAGCAAAGAAAGCATGAAGAGAGACTGGCCAGTAAAATGATCTTTGTAGTGGCCTAACAAGCTACTAATTGATTACAAAACACAGAAATCTCTGAAGGGCGAGAGGAGGGGAGGCAGGGAAGGAATGAGGAAGGGAGGGAAGGAAGGAAGGAAGAAAGGAAGGAAGGAAGGAAGGAAGGAAGGAAGGAAGGAAAGAAGGAAGGAAGAAAGGAAGGAAGGAAGGAAAGAAGGAAGAGGAGAGGAGGGAGGGAGGGAGGAAGGAAATCTTCTAAATGATACTACTCATTTAGAAACTAGAAAGAGGAAGAGGCTTTGTGGCTTAAAGCAGAAGAGTGCTAGCCTTAAGCAAAAGATCTCAGGGACAACCCAGGCCCTGGGTTCAATCCCCACAACTGACAAAAAAGAAAAAAAAAAAGAAAGAAAGTAAGTAAGTAGAGGAAGTGGCGCTGTGGCTCAAGGGGTAGAGAACTCAGCTTGAGCTGAAGAACCCAGGGACAGCACCCAAGCCCAAAGTTCAAGCCCCATGACCAACAAATGAAAAATAAAATTGCATCTAAGAAAGAAACTAGAGGGCTGGGAAGGTGGCTCAGTGGTAGAGCACTTGCCTTGCATGCATGAGGCCCTGGGTTCCATTCCTCAGCACCACATAAGCAGAAAAAGCCGGAAGTGGTGCTGTGGCTCAAGTGGTAGAGTGCTAGCCTTGAGCTGAAGAGCTGAGGGACAGGGTCCAGGCCCAGAGTTCAGGCCCACGACTGAAAAAAAAAAGAAAAAGAAAAAGAAAAAAGAAAAGAAAGAAACTAGAAAGAGAAGAGCACTCTGGGAAGCAAGTAGTAGAGGCTGGGAGAGGTAGAGGGTGAGCACCAAAGGCTAACTTCTATTAGAAGCTGACTCTTGCCAAGCATCAATGGCTCACACCTGTAATCCTAGCTATTCAGGAGGCCGAGATCTGAGGATGAAGGTTTGAAGCCAGCCTGGACAGTAAAGACTGTGAGACATTTATCTCCACTAAAACTCCCAAAAAAGCTAAAGTGGTACTGGGGCTTAAGTAGTAGAGTGCTAGCCTTGACCAAAAGAAGCTCAGAGACAGTGTGTAGGCCCTGAGTTCAAGCCCCAGGACTAGCACCAAAAAAAAGCCAAAGTCAATCCCAGTATCTAAGTCATGGAGGGGCAATTCAGGACAAGTTCAGGAGGCCAGTGGCATACCAATGATCAGCCCTACCTGCTTGTAAAGTTTTGAAGCTGCCTCAAGGCTACCCAAGAAAAATCTGCCCTCTCCTGAGACCAGCTCTGAAAGGACCTATATCAAAAAAATCTCCATGGATAGGAAAGTCACCATCACTAAATAAATATATTTAAACAAGTCTGCAATGATTAGCAAACTTGCTGCCAAATGTTTTAAGTACTCAAAATTGAATTTGAAGTGTAGGGAAGTTCTGTCTTCAACAAAGGACTGTCCCAGAACCCCAAATGGAAGCCTCTATCAGGTGTAGATTTGGCATCTGAGTTTTTTTGCTTTTTTTTGTCGGTGGTGGGGCTTGAACTCTGGGCTTGAATGCTGTCCCTGAGCTCTTCAGCTCAAGGCTAGCGCTCTACTACTTGAGCCACAGAGCCACTTCTGGTTTTCTGGTGGTTTATTGAAGATAAACGACTCACAGACTTTCCTGCCTGGGCTGGCTTTGGACCGTGATCCTCAGATCTCAGCTTCCTGATTAGCTAGGATTACAGGTGTGAGCTACCAGCACCTGGCTGGCATCTGAGTATCTGAAACAAAATATGCAATATTTGTTTTTCTGAGTCTGGATTATATCTCTCTTTTTTTTTTTTTTTGTCGGTCATGGGGCTTGAACTCTGGGCCTGGGTGCTGTCCTTCAGCTCTTCAGCTCAAGGCCAACGCTCTACCACTTGAGCTACAGCGCCACTTCCGGTTTTCTGGTGGTTTATTGGAGATAGGAGTCTCACAGTCTTTCCTGCACGGGCTGGCTTTGAACCGTGATCCTCAGATCTCAGCCTCCTGAGTAGCTAGGATTACAGGCATGAGCCACCAGCGCCTGGCTGGATTATATCTTTTAACATGACAATCTCCAGAGCAATAAAGAGATGACCTTCTATCATTTTTTATGCAGAGGACATGATTTCATTCTTTTTATAGCTGAAAATACTTAATTGTATGAATATGCCGTATTTTCTTTATCCATTTATCACTCGGTGGGTACACAGGCTGATTTCATAGCTTGGCTACTGTGAATAATGCTACAATAAATATTGGTTTAAAAAAAGAGGAAGGGAATGCTGGTGACTCATGCCTGTAATCCTAGCTACTCAGGAAGCTGAGATCTGAGGATCAAGGTTCAAAACCAGCCCAGGCAAGAAAGTCCTTGAGACTCTTATCTCCAATAAACCAGAAAATCAGAGGTGGTGCTGTGGCTCAGGTGGTAGAGTACTCGCCTTGACCTGAAGAGCTGAGGGACAGTGCTCAGGCCCAGAGTTCAAGCCCCATGACTGACCAAAAAAAAAAAAAAAATAGTAAGGGAAAAGAAGAAAGAACTAAACTGACAGCATAAGAACAAAAAAGATTTAAAAAAAAAAGATTGGAAAAAGCTAAAAAAAAAAAAAACAGAAAAAAATCAAGAAAACCAATAATTGGTTCTTTGTAAAGACCAACAAAATTAACAAATGTTTAGTAATATTGATTCCTTTTTGAAATGTGCCCAGAGCTGGTGGCTCACATCTGCAATCCTAGCTACTTGACAGAGGCTGAGATCTGAGGTTCAAGATTCTAGTTTTTTTTATGTGGTGCTGAGGAATCAAACCCAGGGCCTCAGGCATGCAAGGCAAGCGCTCTACCACTGAGCCATCTTGCCAGCCCTGAGGTTCAAGATTCTAAATCAGCCTGAGCAGTAAAATCCTAGAGACTCTAATCTCTAATTAACCAGCAAAAAAACTGGAAGTGGATGAGTGGCTCAAGTGGTAAAGCACCAACCTTGAGCAAAAAAGCCAAGTGAAAGAATAAAGCCCTGAGTTCAAGCCCCAATACTTGGACACACACACACACACACACACACACACACACACACACACACACACACACACACACACACACACAGAGGCTGGAAATATAGCTCCATGGTAGAAAACTTGCTAGTGTGCACGCTTCATCTCCAGTATGACAAAAATAACAACAAAAAAGCAAATGCTTGCTTGCTTGGCTTGTGCTCTTCAACTTCAACCAATCCTACTTCAGCCCAGCTTCTTGCTGCTTATTCTGGACATGGAGTCTTACAGACTTTTCTCCCCAGGCTGGCTTCACATTGTGATCCTCCAGGTCTCAATCTCCTCTGTGAGCCATTAACATCTGTCTATAACTTTGATTTTGAATCATGTAACTGTGTTCACTCTCCAGAAAATTTACTGAATAATGTTAATAAATAAAACAAAACAATTACTTCTACTATGTGCATTTATCATGTCGCTCTAATCCACAATAATTGCTGTTCTATTAACATCAAAAAATTCTATAATTACATCTTGGAAAAATTCATATATTTTAGTTTTCTCTACTTTGGCCATGCATACTAAGTGCAGTGAGTACATTATAAATGCAATTGCAGCATTACCTGTCTTTGTATACCCAGCAGGAAAGCTTATCACGTGGTGTGGGTGGCTGACCTTCAAAGTTGGTGATTTTTTCCCAAACATAGGTTCCATCTCTTGTTCGTAAATTAACAAAATAAAGCTTATAAAAGATGAGAACATTATTAGTTTGAAAAGTACATGGCATTCGAAAGTTAAATCTCTATCAGGATGATCTGTGATTTAAAAAAATACTATTACCTATTAGAAATTTTAAATTGTAGAATTAATGAAAATGAGACATGTTTTAGCAGGTAGACCCTGAACAGCTGATGCTATGCAAAACAAAAGAAATGTACATATCACCCAATGTGGAAGAAATAACTATATTACAAAGCTCATAGAACTCATAAATGTTATAGACCATGATAGACAATTTGTCCCATGAAAGTTAGAATGTGTTTGTGACTTTAACTAAGCATCACTATCCCATAATACTGTGAAATTTGGGAAATTATGTAATCACTTAATCACAATAAAGAATTTGAAAAAAAATTAAAAATAAGATGATACTATGTGTTAAAAAAAAAAAAAAGAAGGTAGACCCTGGTGGCTCACAGTTTGAATTCAGCCTATGCAGAAGAGTCTAAGAGATTCCATCTCCAAAATAAGCAGCAAAAAGCTGAATTAGAGGTATGGCTCAAGTGGTACAGTACTGGCTAAGTGTGAAAAAGCTGAGTATGAGCTCAAACCGCAGCGCACACACGCATATGCATGTGTGCGTGCACATGCGTGCGCACACACACACACACACACAAGACATATGGAAATGTATCATTTCCTTTTTTCTATGTGTGTCAGTCTTGAGGTTTAAAATTAGGGCCTAGGTATTGTCCCTGAGGTTTTTGTTGTTGTTGTTCATGGCTAGTGCTCTACCACTTGAACTACAGTTCCATTTCTATCTTTTTGGTAGTCATTTAGAGTAAGAGTCTCACAGTTTTCCAACCCAGGCTGGCTTTGAACCATAATCATCAGCTTTCAGCCTTCTGAATAACTAGGACTATGCTAGAAAATTTCTTAACATGCTCTTGCTTATTAGATATAAACTAAGCATGCATTAATTCTTTTTGTGTATGTGTGTGTGCTGGCCGTAGGGTTTGAACTCAGGACCTGGGCACTCTCACTGAGCTTTTTTGCACAATGCTAGTGCTCTACCACTTGAGCCACAGCTCCACTTCCAGCTTTTTGCTGGTTTATTGGAAATAAGAGTTTCACAGACTTTCCTGAACATGCTGGCTTCAAACAGCAATCCTCAGATCTCAGTCTCCTGAATAGTTAGGTGTGAGTCACCAAGATCTGTCCATTATGTGCTAATTCTGAAGCAGAAAGACATGACAGGAAAGATTCACAAGACTGTTGCATTTTTCCATCTATTCTTTTTCAAAATCTTATAAACTTAACTTAGTTGTAAACCCATGAGATGAGATGACACATTAAATATGACATTTTTCTTCACTCCTGAATTAAAAGAAAATCTTATTACTCGATTGCTGTATCCTTTGTCATCATAGCCTCCAAAAACGTAGAGCTTTCCATGAATGCAAGCACCACAGCTTCCTGACATGGAGGTCGGGAGTTCTCCTTCCATTAGGTGCATTCTCCTGAAGCAAGAAAAGCAAATGAAAAATCCCTTTACCCTGAGTATTTTTTCAGTGAATATTGTCACTTTCTATTGCAATGTGATTATAATTCAGCATGGTGATGCCCTGTAATCAGAGCACTAAGAGGCACAGGTGGAAGAATTGGGAGTTCTAGTCCAACCTGAGCTATATAGTAAGACTCTTACTCAAGTAGAGTAACTGTAGCCAACACTGTAAAAGCGCTAAGAAGCTTTAGTGTAAAGATCCTGCAGCTTGCTGAAGAAACAAAACTAACAAAATTTTCACACATGTGAATTAGAGTAAACATTTTTAGTGTTGGTCATCAAAGAATGGTAAGGAATAGAGAATGTAGAGGGAAGAAGATAGAAAAAAGTCACAGAGAATGAAAGCAGAGGGAGACCTCATAAATGTTCCAAGTACTTTCTTAAATTCCCTATAGTCAATAAGAATGTTTATAATGGACCTATTAATATAAAATATTCTGAAATATAAAATTACTTACCATAACCCACTATCAATATCATAGGTCCAAATTTCATCATTAGGCAAATAAACTTCATTGTCTTCAATAGACTAAAAACACACAATACATAAAGTTATATTTATCAATTACATAGTAATAATTCTGTAGGATAAAATGCAATTAAAATATTACGAACAAAAAACAGACTCTGATTTTTTCTAGCATAAAATACTGAGCAAAAATGGAAAAATAGTAAAAGATTAGACTATGAAATGGCAACTGTAAGAGTTTCAAGAAAAAGAGCAATAAAACTTTTTAAAAGATTTTGAGAAAAGGAAAAAGCAAAATAGCAAATTTTATAGCAAAAATTTTTTTTTTGGGTCCGGTCGTGGGGCCTGAACTCTGGGCCTAGGCGCTGTCCCTCAGCTCTTCAGCTCAAGGCTAGCGCTCTACCACTTGAGCCACAGTGCCACTTCCGGCTTTTTTCTTTTTGCTTATGTGGCGCTGAGGAATCGAACCCAGGGCCTCGAGCATGCAAGGCAAGCGCTCTACCACTGAGCCACCTTCCCAACCCTGAGCACATTTTTTGAGTGCCTTCTATTTATAAGGCATAGTGTCAAATGTTTAATTCTAGAATCCAAAGATCAAGAATAAAATAGAGTGTGATGGGGATTTCACTGCCCCAACAGCCCCCTAAAAACTTATTATAATTTAGATAGTGTGATGTGTAACAAGAATAATCAAATCAGTTCAACAGAATAAACAATCTAAAAGCCCAATGCTGGTGGCTCATGTCTGTAATCCAGCTACTCAGGAGACTGAGATCTGAGGATCTTGGTTCAAAGCCAGCTGGGGTAGGAAAGTCTGTCAGCCACCAGAAAACCAGAAGTAGTACTGTGGCTCAAAGTGGTAGAGCACTAGCCTTGAGCAAAAAAGCCCACAGACAGTTCTCAGGCTCTAAATTCAAGCCCATGACCAACCCTCCCCCCCACACACACACAAAAAAAAAAAAAGAAAAAAAATCCAGAAACAAGTCATATATCCATGGAAACCTGATGTATAACAGATGAATTTTGCAGGTTAGTAGGGAAAAGTGGAACTATGTAACATGTGACACAAGAGCAAGCAGTTATAGAAAACAGAATAACTGCATCTCTACTTTAAGCCAAACAATCAAGGGGGGGAAAAAGCAGATTAAAAAAAGATTTAAACATGGAAGGCAAAATTAAAAACAAAAAACTGTTTACAACACAATACTGGACATCTTTTAATCTCCACATGAGAAAAGATCTCTTAAATAAGATGCAGAAAACACAAAGTATTAATGAAAATACTAAATTTACATTAAAATTAATAAGTTCTGCCCTCCATACATCACCTTTATAATAACAATTAAAAATTGAAATTATAAATAAATTCTAACGTAATTTATATGAGGAATGTTCAAGTAAGAACTCCAAACAGAAGGCAGATTAGATACATGTAACAATATATTTAAAGAATTCATACAAATCAGTCCAAAAAAATAAACATACTGTTAAGAACAATAGGAGGCATGTTATACTAATGTTCATTATTTCTTATTATATCAAAAAAGAAAGAGGAGTTGTGGCCCAAGTGGTAGAGCTCTAGCCTTGAGTACAAAGCTCAGCGACAGTGCTCAGGGCCCTGAATTCAAGCCCCAGGAATGACAAAAAAAAAAAAGGTTACCCTCATAGCGAGGTACCAGTGGCTCATGCCTGTAATCTAGCTATTCAGGAGACTGAGATCTAAGGATTAAAGTTAGAAGCCAGCCCTAGCAGGAAAGTCTGTGAGACTCTTATTTCTAATTAACCACCAAAAAGTCAGAAGTGGATCTGTGACTCAAGTGGTAAAGTGACATCCTTGAGCATGAAAGCTCAGGGGTAGCACCCAGGCTTTGAGTTGAAGCCCCAGAATCAGCACAAACAAAAACAAAAACAATACAAGGACCATTAAAAAATTCACTAATAGTGGAATGAATAAATAAGGCACAGTAAATTTACATAACAGAATATTGTACAGGATATATGTTACATAGCTGGATCAAAGGGTGATTTTCAAATATTTAATAAATACTTGTTTATATTTCACAAAGTATTCAGCATAGGCACTGATAAATTAGAATGGACACAAATTAACAGATACAAGTGCACTCCAGCTGATTAAGCAATATATAAACCTAAAAATGAAAGTAAGTAAGCTGGGTGTCAATAACTGACACCTGTAATCCTAACTACTCAGAAGGCTGAGACCTGAGGATTAAAGTTAGAAGTCAGCTAGGACAGGAAAGTCTGTGAGACTCTTATCTCCAATTAACCACCAAAACAGCTGGAGGTGGAGCTGTAGTTCAAGTGGTAGAGTATTAGCCTTGAGCAAAACTGCTCAGGGACAGAGCCTGAGTTCAAGTCCCAACAACTGCAAACACAAAAAAGTAATTAAGGCCTAAAATGAAAACATACTATAATTCTAAATGAAATAACATAGTTATATATATATATGATAAAATTCTAAAGAAAAAGTGATACAGGGATTGGAGGTCTGGCTAAGGTGATAGAGAACTAGCCAATGAGCAAAAGCATCAGATACCAAGTTCTAGTCCTGGTCTCGGACAAAAAAGAAAAAGACAAAAGTGATTTAGAAGATATTTGAAGGACGGCAGGTGTGGCTCATTGGTATGGCACTAGCCTAGCAAGCAGGAGATCCTGAGTTCAAACCCCAGCACCACAGAACATTTGAGAAAGTAGTCATCTGTAAGTAGGGGTGAAGAGAGCAGAACGCTTTAAAAGCACTGGTGGTAATCTGTTCCTCGGCCTCGCAGGTAAACATATACTTACCACTAAATGATACTTATTTCATACATTCTTTGGTGTATATACTTCATTTTAAAATTAAATAAATGCATTTTTCAGAAAAGAATATTAAAAAGCTCGCAGAATCAGCAGGAAGTTGAAGATTCAGCATCTGACCTACGGAAAGAGCATGGTCTAAAACTACATGTGTTTAGTCCCTGGGGAACACCACACTGCAGCTTGTAGCAGTGCCTTTTATGTCAGGGACTCTGAATTTCTAAAATAATTTCCAGGGTAAAAATCCTCTGAAAGTTCCAAATTTTATATCATTATCATCTTTTGACAGCATTAGGACTTTAGCTCATAGCCTTCAGTTTGCTAGGAATGTACTCTATTGCCAAAGCCTTTTTGAATAGGATCTTGCTTTTTCTTCAGGCTGATCTGAACTGTGATCCTACTATTCATGCTTCCCACCATAGCTGAGAGAACTGGTACACATCAGTACACCAGATTTGTCTGTTGAGGTGGGGTCATATGAACACTTTCTGCCTGACCTGGTGTGGAAATCCTCTCAATCTATCTTCCAATCTCAGCCTCCAGCACAGCTTGGATGACAAGTGCACAGCCTATCTTATTGGTTGAGATGGGCGGGGGATGTCTCAGGAACTTTTGTCTCAGGCTTCTTTAAACTTCAGTCCTCATGAGTAGCTAGGATTACAGGCATGAGCCATTGCATTTAGCTACATCTTTTTCTTGAATCCAGATCTAGCATAAATTAATCTTACCAGCAAGTTCAATCTACTTGTTTATAACTTGGGTGCAAATGAGGCTGAAAAAGTTCTTGACATGCAAAACTTGTGCTTCTCGGGTACTGAATATGAGCTATAACCAGTTCTAGACACAGGCTATAGCAAACTATCTTAGTAGAATTTATGTTCTGTAGAGATTGGTAGGAGGTAGTCAGGCAATGAGTGAAAGTAAATACTCAGATAAATCACTCAGTGGGGAATGAATATCACAAATAGTGACAGGTTTGTACACAAGCATTTAAAAAAATATACTATCCACATGTCTTAGATGGCTTATGTGACCACCTTGGTCACAGAGTAAAACTATTAGGTTTAAAAAGAACATAAACTAACCCCTCTGTAGATTACCTTTATAATAATACAAAAATAAAAAATTAAAAGGACATTTATAGCTTTTGAACACACTGCTAACCTTCTCCTCGAAAAGTTTGCATACATGTGCATTACCACTAACAGCACAGTTATAATTCATTTCCCTACTTTTTTCTCCAAAATTCTTATTAATATTTGCAAAATGAAGAAAAAACTCATCGTTAAGCTGGTCACTGAAGCCAGATATGAAGGGAAAAGCCAAGTGAAATCATGAAGCCCCAAGTTCACAGCCCCAGTACCAACACACACACACACACACAAATTATTTTCAACCAAGATTCTTTGGTTCATGTTATATTTCTTACTCATTTTTCCATGGAGAAATTGTTTATTGTAGACTCTTCCCCTATCATAAATATTTTTCTATTTGTCATTTGCCCTCTCATTTTGTAATGCTTAAAAATCAGTTTTTAGGAAGTAGAGGTATGACTCTAGTGGTAGAACACCAGTCATAAGTGTCCAAGTGTAAAGCCCTGAGTACAAGTCACAGTACTGGTGTGTGGGCATGTGTACTTGCACATGCCCATGCACACGCATACATACCCCTCTTATTTTTTTGGTGTCAGTCCTGGGGCTTGAATTCAGGCCCTTGGTGCTATGCCTGAGCTTCTTTTGCTCAAGGCTATCACTCTACCACTTGAGCCACAGCTCCCTCCACTTTTGGCTTTTTTTGTAGTTTAGTGGAGATAAGGTCTCATAGACTTTCCTACCTGCACTTTGAACTGTTATCCTCAGATCTCACCCTCTTTAGTAGCCAAAATTACAGGCATAAGCCACCAGTGCCTGGCTACACAAATCATTTTTTAAACTGTTTGAACAATTAACACTGTAAGAGAATGCATACCATCAATAAACATATAGATACTGACTCTCTAAAGTTTGGAAAAACTACTTAATAACATTACATGGTCCTAGTAGTAGGACTAAAGTTTGCATTAAATTCAGCACTGTGGGAAAGATACTAAGAGCAGACTAATATTCTGATACCAATTAGAATTTACTATGTATTTTTCTTTGGTATCACTTTTACCTCTGGAGATGTTTTCAGACACACTGTTCTCTAAAATTTGTTCAGGAGCTGAGGGCATGGCTCAAGTGGTAGAACACTTGCCAAGCAAGCACAAAACCCTGACTTCAAACCCTATACTGCCAAAAAAACAAAAGCTAAACCACCAAAACTTGTTCAACAATTAGTACTTTAAATACTAAATAAGTACATTAGACAGGTGTTTTAAGATATGTTTGTTAATTTTAACATTATTTTAAAGAGGAAATTGTCATCAAACAATCACAATTGGGCAATCAGGTCATTATTCTTAACTATTGACTGCTAAAATATCTCCAGATTCCAGGGTATTTTACTTATCTTCTGTTCAGAAGGTATTTCACTTCTAAAACAATTGTTGGAAGGATTCTAATTTTCTCACCACATGCCATGGTTTTTTGTTTTTTTGTTTGTTTTGGTAGTTGGTGGTACTAGAATTTGAAATCAGTGCTCTGAATTTGCTAAGCTGGAATTCTGTCATTGGAGCCACAGCTCCAGCCTGTTTTTTGCTGGTTATTTTGGACATCTCCATGTTCCTGTCTTGGCTTTCCATGACCCCCTATCCAGATCTCAGTCTTCTGTGTAGTAGGCAGGCTGGTTATTTCTGAGATAGGGTCTTCTTCCCCACTGGGCTGTGATTCACCTACTTTAGGTTGTCTATCATGGTGGCTGAGATCACTATTTCTCCTGCCCTCCATAGAGACCGACTCTTGCAGACTTAACTGTCATGCTTGGCCTGGGACTTCAATTTTACCAATTGAAGTTGGAGTGGCAAACACTCACCAGTGTACCCAGCTTTGGTTTGTGAAAGGAGGGGGGTGGACTTCTCATTATCTTTGCTGCCCTGACTAGACTCAAACCAAGTACCCAGAATTAACAAGTAACTACTCATTTTCCTTCCACTTTTGTTTTAGTTATTTAACTGGTGATGAATCCTGAAAAGTTAAAAAGGAATAGACTTAGGATCTGAATGTGTTCCTCCCCACCCCTTCCCCTGTGTGTGTGGGGGGGTCCTTATAGTATCTCTGTTCTTAGGAACACTCAAATATTTTAATTTCATAACTGCCACCTGAAGAAGTGGAATCATCAATTAAACGTGTGTGTGTGTGTGTGTGTGTGTGTGTGTGTGTGTGTACCAGTACTGGGGCTTAAACTATTTTTTTTGCTGGGGCTTAAACTAGTTTTTTTTTTTGCTTAAGGTTAGCACTCTACCATTTGAGCTACAGTTCTATTTCTGAGTTTTTGTTGGTTAATTATAGATAAAGAGTCTCATGGATTTTCCTGCTTAGACTGACTTGGAACTGTGATCCTCAGATCTCAGACTCCTGAATACCTAGGATTATAGGCACGAGCCACCAATGGCCCAGCCACTTTTTGAGATTAAAACAAATGGAGGAAGAGGGTGAGCAAATGTAGTCACCATACCAATGTACATTTTTAAAAATTAAAACTATGTAACTTGAGGATAGGAATGGGAAGAAGAAAATTTGGAGAGAATAATGGAAGGGTCGACACTAATCAAGAAGTGTTATATTCATACCCTTACTTATGCAGTTGTAACCTCTTTGTACAATTACTTAATAAAAGATTAAAACAAGATATAAGACATTAGAACCTTTCACTTATGGGCTCTAAATAACTACATGGGTGAGTTTCATTATGAGTATAAAGTGAACTACATAGACAAGAGATTTTATAAAATTATTACTTTAGTAATTTTTCACTTAACTTAGAATATCAAGAATCAAGTACTAGGATCACATGCCTGTGATCCTAGTACTTGGGAAGTTAAGGCAGCCAGGAAGAAAGTCTGTGAGACTTTTATCTCCGATAAAGGGGGGGGGGGAGAGGGAGAGAGAAGAGAGGGAGAGAAGAGAGGGAGGAAAGGGAGAGGAAGGAGAGGGAGAGGACAGAGAGGAGAGGGGAGAGAGAGTAGAGAGGGGAGAGAAGAGAGAGGGTGGGGGAGGGGAGAGGGGGAGAGAGGGAAAGAGGGAGAGAGAGAAAAGGAGAGGGAAAGAAAGAGGAGAGAGGAGAGGAAGAGAGAGGAGAGAGTGGGGAGAGGAAGATAGAGGAGAGGGAGAGAAGATAGAGGAGAGAGGAGAAGGAGAGAAGAGAGGAGGGAGAGAGAGGAGGGAAGAGGAGACAGGGGAGAGGGAGGAGGGAGAGGAAGACAGGAGAGAGGAGAGGAGAGAGGAGAGGAGGAGAAAGGAGAGGGAAAAAGAGGAGAGAGGAGGGGAAGGGAGGAGAGGGGACAGGGGAGAGGGAGGAAGAGGGAGAGAAGGAGAGAGGGAGAAAGAGGGAGAGGAGAGAGGGAGAGTTGGGGAGAGAGAGCAAGAGAGAGAGAGAGTGAGAGTGAGCACAAGCAGGAACAGGAGAGCCTGGAGTGCTCAGGGATAGTGCCCAGGCCCTTAGGTCAATCCCCAGGACTGGGGGGGATGAAGTTTGGTATCTCTGCATCTTCAAGAGCTAAGAAAAAAAGTAAATATTTTTGTACGTACAGTCATCGTTGTATTTATTTTATCATGAATAAGTGGTGGAAATGGTAAAAATAAATAAATAAAATGAAACAGCCTTTAGAGATCTAGCGTGCTACAATCTACTGCGCTTGATGTCAAATAGCCATTGAAGGTGTTCTCATTGTCCTTATTTATCAAATGGAGATTCAGGTACTTTACCTGGTGAGACTGAGGATTATATAATATTAGGGACATGAAAATTCCTAGCACATCCCAGATACAGTAGGCACTCAAAAGATTACTTCTGATTTTTTCCCCCATACTGCACTAAGTTAAGAAGAAACACACAAACAAACAAAAAAATCCCACTTGGATCTGCACCATCACTAGCATACATAGTAGGTACTTTATTTCAGTGAGTCCATCTCCTTACTGGTCTGTCATAGATTAGTATGTCCGAAGTTGTAGGATCTATTTTCAGTAGTTTCCAGAGGGCTTTTTTTTTCTTTTTTAATCTGTAGACTAAAAAGGATTAGCATATACTCCTGAATGGTTTCCCAGCTTTACGACTCTTACTCCAATCCTCTGATCACTGGAACAAAACAAACACGCGTTCTAACCTCCATGGTAATACGAACTCTCAACCATACTCCTCTCTGGTTTAGTGTTGCTCATACAAACCTAACTTGAAGGAGGGGGTGAGGGGAAGGGTGGAAAGGGGAAAACATAATCGTCCTTATCCATTAGCGAAGAAAAACGACTGACGATACCTAAAGGCTTAGTTAGCTACTGCCAGTGACTTCGGCATTTTATTTCGCGTCTCACCGTGGCCGACCACCGCAACGACAACCACAACGAAAGCAAACACCATGTACAGAATCACCCAGGACCACGTCCTTGGAGGCCTTTTTTTTTTAAAGTGGGCGTCAGTATTTAAGGGCAAGGAATCGCGCGGTAACTGAACTGCCTGACACGGCCCGGGGGTGGGGGGGTTAAACTGGCCACCTGAAGAGGGTGGGGGGGTGGGGGGGTGGGAAGAAGGGAGCATCCGGGGACCAGGCGGGGGGGGGGGGGGGGAGAGGCCTCTGACAGCGGAAGCAACGGCGGCACGGCGTCCAGCCCGGCGTGGCTGGGAGGGCGGGCGCGGGACGCCTGGACGCGGGGCTCCGGGCGCAGGCCCCAGACTCGGGGCGGGGCGGGGCGGGGGGGGGGAGCCGAGACGCGAGGTTCCGGGCGCCTCGGCCCCAGGCCCAGGACGTGCCCCACCTCAGGAGCCGAAGCTGGGGGGCCGGGGCCGGGGTGGGGGGTGGGCGGGCGCTCGGCGTCCCCGCGGACCGAGAACGCCCCGTTCCGCCTCTTCCCCTTACCACGTAGCCCCCCCACACGTAGAGGAAGTTCCCGTCCACCACGGCGCAGTGGCCGCTGCGCTCCTCGGCCACGCAGAACAGCTGCGAGTCCGCCATCCGCGCCGTCGCTGGCGCGCCGCTGCCCCAGCCCGCCGAGCAGCTGCTCCGCGCTCCCGACTCAGGCACGCACAACGGAACGCGTCAAGGGTCCAGATTGTGGGAAGGCGCAACCGGCGCGTGTACGCCGGCCGTCCGCCGCCGGCCGGCCAACGCGGCCCAGAGTTGGACGGCCGGGCCCGGGTGCGCGCGCGGGCGGGGAGGCCTAGCCTCCCGGAGGCCCCGGATTCTCGGGGGGGGTCTCCCCAGAAAGGGTTTCCGTAGTTGGTTTTGTAGCAGCGTTACTGGGGGTCATGCATGACTTTGAAGACTTTGCCGCGTCTTTCTTAATCTAGACTAGTTTTCCTCCCTTCTGTTGTAAGACCTGGGTTTGCCCAGTGAGTTTTCTTTTGCCATAGCTGTGCTACATTTTGGGGAGTTTATGATGGCCTCCTTGTGATTTATGAATCCAATGTGTAAGGTTTTTGTTCGTCTATTAAAAATACATATTTCCAAGGGAAAAAAAACAAATTGTTTAACTAGGGATACAGGTGGACCCATCGCACCAAGGAGATGGACAAGACACGATGTCAAAAAACGAACTTTACAATTTAGGTGGGGGGGATGGTAGGGGAAAAACAAAGGAGGAGGCGACAATGCTGGATATGGACTCATTGCCTTGCTCATGTAACTGTAACCCCTTTGTACAGTATTTTCACAAAATTAAAAAAAAACTTAATTAAAAAAATATTTCCAAGTTACAGAGAAACTTGTAGGTCTTCATTTGTAGCCCAGGCTGGTCTTCATCTGGTGATCCTCCTGCCAAAGCATTCTTGATGTTTGGATTACATGTGTGTCTCATCGTATCCGGCTCCACTTATTTGTTTTAGGCTGAAGCTGTATCTCAAGGCTTACTAGAGGCTGTTGATTTTTCAAGAGTTCTTCATGCTGCACCCAGTACAACGATACTCTTACCCCTTCCCTCCCCCTTCGGTTAAGGGGCTTGTACTCAAGGCTGGGGCACTGCCCTTGAGCTTCTTTTGCTCAAGGCTAGCACTCTACCACTTAAGCCAAGGCACCACTTCTGGCTTTTTTGGTGATTAATTAAATTGGAGATAAGAGACTCATGGACTTTTCTGCCCCAGCTGGCTTTGAACCGTGATCCTCAGATTTCAGCCTTCTGAGTAGCTAGGATTACAGGCGTGAGCCACCAGCACCCGGCCCTTTCCATTGTTTATAATACAAAAAAATACACAGAGACAAATGTTTTCCCTTTTTTTTCCACACAAAAAGAAACACTGGTTACTTACTGCTTTTACACAATGATGCCTGCTCTCAGACATCATTCCCTATCATCTTATCTTCTAGGCAGCCTCACACTATCCCACTGAGTGATTATGTTGTGATTTATTGATTCTAGTCCTGATAGACATGTCAGTTATTTCTAGTTTTTTTGATATCACAAATAACACTGTAAAGAAACATGTATAAGGTGGTTTGTAGTCTTACAAAAAGTCTTAGGAGGTGAAGAAGTTGAATTGCAGGGAGTAACTCATACATACTTTGCAAAATGTTGCTCAGTACTAGTTTAGCTGGAAAATGAAAATGTTGACATCACAATGTTGTGGGAGCTCCTGCGATGGATAAGATTTCCCAAGGAGAAGGTAGAGTGAGATGACCATAAGGTCTTGGGAATATGAATTTTTTTTTTTTTTTTTTGGTCAGTCATGGGCCTAAACTCTGGGCCTGGGTGCTGTCCCTCAGCTCTTCAGCTCAAGGCTAGTGCTCCAGCACTTGAGCTACAGCACCACTTCCGGCTTTTTCTGCTTATGTGGTGCTGAGGAATTGAACCCAGGGCTTCATGCATGCAAGACAAGCACTCTACCACTGAGCCACCTTCCCAGCCCCGGGAATATGAATATTTTTGTGGAAGAAAGATGAGAAGAATTTTTAGTAGTAGCAACCAAGAGAAAAAGCTACCATGGAAACAAAGAGACTTGTGTTAGTCTGACTTTTCATCTCTGTGACAAAATACCTGAGAAAACACATTATGAGAGGAAGTGTTTATTTAGATTCCCAGTTTCAGAGCTTTTAGTCCATGATGGGCCAGCTTCATTACTGTGAGCCTAAGGACACTCTCTTCCCAAGACCTACTTTAGCTAGCACTTAACCTCCTGAAATTTCTAGACTCTCTCAAATAGCACCAACAGGTGGGAGTCAAGCCTTTAATGTGTGTCTTTTTTTGGGGGAAGGGGCACTTCACATTCAAACCCTAACATTCTCATTTATTGCTAATTGAGCAAAAATGGTAAACTATTTGGCAATTTCTTGAAGTATCTAAGTATAAGGATATATATGTAAATGACCCAGCTGTTTGAACTGCTGGAATCAGAATAACAATTCAAGACCTACATAGCATACCACTCATCATTTCTCACTTGTAAGATGAATCTATTGTGGAAAAAGTAGCACAACAGATCATTTGGCAATTGTGAGCAACCCCTCGATACAATTTAATTTGCTATGACTATAGCTGGCTGCCAGCGATCCTATTTACTTAGGAGGTTGAGATCTAAGGATGGCAATTCAAGACCAGCCTGGGCAGAAAAGGCTGGTATGGAGGAAAAATCCAACTAAAATGCTGCTTGGATGAGACTGAGGGAGATTTATAACAACTTGTTGTACATGTGGCGAAAATTCCAGCCAGGAAACATTATTTCCAAGGCCTATGGGGAAGGCAGGAAGGTCCCAGGGCAGTGTGCCCTGAATGACTCAATGATAAACGTGGGGTAAGAGAAGCGCTTCCCAACTAGAGGCCAGGGAAGGATGCTCTCGCCCCTCCTGTATCCCCTCGGTGGAGGAGCATAGGTGGTGCAGAGTGTCAGGATTGAGGTAGACCCGTAGCAACAGACATTACTGCGCAGGGTTTCCTACAAAACCCCGCCCACCCGCTCCAGGGGCGTGGCCTCCTCTAGGAAGAGGCGGGGCCTCCGCCGTGGCGCCAAATCGCGAACATGGCGCCTGAGCGAGTACGGAGCCGTGCGCTCTCGGCTTTCAAGTTGCGCGGCTTGCTACTCCGAGGGTGAGTCGGTCTGGACAGCTTGTCTCCCGCGCGCAGACTGGGGGCTTCACCTTACATGACAGAGACCCCCACCTCTAAGAAATGGATCAGGTGCCATGTTGAGGTGTCTTCCATTGGGGGCCAGGCTCTCCGGCCCGGCGATGGGTCTCGTAGCTGCCCTTTAGCCCCCGACATGGGCACCGTTCGGTCCGCAGGTCTCTGCCTCTGCCCGCCACGAATCAGAGCTCTGCCGGTTCTGAGCTGTCAAATGAGGAGTTTGGGGGAGGGAACACGTACTGCCAGTTGCGGCCAGTTTGTATAGCTGCAGACCCTCCCATTTGGGGATTACCAGTTATTTCAGAGTGGGTGGATTTTAGGCATGTTTTTAAAAATGTACATTTAAGAATTTTTCCTTTACAGTATCTCAAAGTCCGGTTTCTTGGACATATCCATGTCTTTTAGGACCTACAAAACGACAGCTACAAGATTGCTCTTGTTAAAATTGTCTCCCTCTCCAACACTCTCATTGAACCTAGGGTGGCAGGCTTGCTGGGCCCGTGCTCTATCACCTCCAGCCCTTGGGGCACTGGTTGCTTATTTTTAAGTATGAATGTAGTTTATATGGTGATTATATTCAAATGTTAAGGTTTCTTTGTAGTCTTTTTTTCCTTCTAATTTTATAACTAAAAACAGTGATGAAATTACTGGAATTTACTTCAAGCAAATGCAGTGTCAGTTTAATCATTACACAGTCTCTATTATACTCAGATATGGCATCTGACATGGAGGCTGGCAATTTTTTTGCTGTAAATGTAAGGTAATACGTATTACAGGGCTAATATGAGGTGTCAAATTCAAGGTATATATAGAAATTATATTTACTGATTTCAAAATGAAGGGAGATTGCAGTAGATAATGTTGGTACAGGATGACTCTTTATAACATTTGTGGGTGCTGGTGACTCATGCCTGTTAATTCTAGCTGCTTAGGAGGCAGAGATCTGAGGATCATGGTTCAAATCCAGCCCAGGCAGAAAAGTCTGTGAGACCCTATCTCCAATTAACCACCAGAAAACCAGAATGGCACTATGTCTCTAAGTGGTTAGAGCTCTAACCTTGAACTCAGGGACAGTGCCCAGGCCCTGAAAGCCCCAAAGTCCACAAAAAAAAAAAAAAAAAAAAGTGTTAACCAGGGATAGATAGAATGACCTTTTTTTTTTTTTTGCTCAGAAAGTATAGGAAAGGTGAGTAATACTTGAACAGAAGGGATTGGTAGATCTTAATTTCAGTTCCAGATTGATAAGTGTTTGCTATTTTTTGACAAGAAAGATTTGCTTTCAATGACCAATGACATGTCTTATCTTTAAAAGAAGATTTATTAGCATGTACAGGATGGTCTCATTATGACACTTTTACATATGCTTTCAATGTATCTTGATTAGAATCCACCCCCTGTGTTTCCCCTTTTTTTTCTAGTGAAGCTACTAAGTACCTCACAGAAGTTCTTCAGTCTGTCAACGAATTAGAGCTTGAAGACACTCTGGAAAAGATCATTGATGCAGTTGAAAAGCAGCCCTGTAAGTAGCATTTTCTGATAACTCTTAAATTGTGAGTATAGCTTTGTATCTTCAGATTTATAGATTTAAATAGAAGTTGAGGATTTGATATTTAAGATCTGGTGTTATGATATAGGCCTGGCAATATTTCTTTCCAAGGTATTAGTTCAGTTGTAGCCTCTGACTATTCTTCAGGGACCCTGTTGTTACAGCTTCCTAGCCTTTTGGGCACTTATCACAACCATCCTTCTCTAACTTGACTCTGGATTTGGTCTGGTTCCCAATCGCTTTTATCTCTCTGTACACTTAATACTGTGTCTTATTTCAGTTAGGAACTCATAAATGATTTGGGGAAAACTTCCTTTCTTGCTTTTTCAGGTATCTTTTGGTTAAATATACTTCATTTGATACCATAAGCATGGATTTGTCTCTGTCTCTCTCTCTCCCTCTACCCCCCCTCTTTCCCTATCTTCCCTCTCTTTCTCTCTGTCTCTCTATTTCTTTCTCTCTCTCTGTGCCTGGGCACTACCCCTGAGGTTTTATGCTCAAAGCTAGTGCTCTACCACTTGAGCCACAGCTCCACTTCTGGATTTTTTAGTAATTAATTGGAGTTAAGAGTCACAGACTGGGAATGTGGCTTAGGGGTAGAGTGCTTGCCTAGCATGCATAAAACCCCAGGTTTGATTCCTCAGTGCCACGTAAATAGAAAAAGCCCCAAGTGGCACTAGGGCTGAAATGGTAGAGCACTATCCTTGAGCAAAAAGGAGCTCAGGGACAGTGCCTAGGCCCTGAGTTCAAGTCCCAGGACTAGCAAAACAAAACAAACAAACAAAAAAGTGTCTCATGGATTTTCCTGTCCAGTCTGGCTTCAAACCACAACCCTCAGATCTCAGTCTCCTGATTAGCTAGATTACAAGTGTGAGCAATTGAGCCCACCTTCCTGAGCTTTTTTTGTTGTTGGTGGTGGTCATGGGGAACTCTGGGCCTGGGCTCTGTCTCTTCAGCTCAAGGCTAGCACTCTACCACTTGAGCCACAGCGCTACTTCTGGTTTTCTGGTGGTTTATTGGAGAAAAGACTCTTACTGGATATAAGAGTCTCATGGAGGGCTGGGAAGGTGGCTCCGTGGTAGAGCGCTTGCCTTGCATGCCTGAGGCCCTGGGTTCGATTCCTCAGCACCACATAAGCAAAAAGAAAAAAAGCTGGAAGTGGTGCTGTGGCTCAAGTGGTAGGGCACTAGCCCTGAGCTGAAGAGCTGAGGGACAGTACTCAGGCCCAGAGTTCAGGCCCCACAACTGGACCAAAAAAAAAGAATCAGGACTGAGTTTGTATTGCTTCCTACTCTCTTGCTGGTGTAATTCTTAGTGAACATCCTAAAGTTGAACATCTCCTACATCTAAAATATGAGTATGGGGCTGGGAATGTGCCTTAGTGGTAGAGTGCTTGCTAGCATGTACTGCAGTTCCTCAGTACTGCATAAACAGAAAAAGCTAGAAGTGGCACTGTGTCTGAAGTGGTAGAGTGCTAGCCTTGAGCAAAACAAGCTCAGGGACAGGCCCTGAGTTCAAGCCCCAGGACTGGCAAAAATTAATTAATTAATTATGAGTATGCTAACATCAGTGTTATAGAATATCTGTCTAGTAGATTGAAGCTTGTAAAGTACTGAGTTAGTAGCTGTTCTGGTTACTATAATACTTAATAAAACATAGCAGTTGTGATTATACTATTACTATAGCTTTATTGAAATTGGGAGCTTACAGAATGTTTTTTAACTAAGTTTATATGGCTGAACAGAATTTATAAAATGCTTATAAAATAAAGGCATTTAGCTATATCTTAAGATGATTTTTTAAATTGCAAAACATGGACATGAAGATATTTGACATAAGTCTTGTGTTTTGTTATTGTTCTGACTTCGAACTTGTCTTTTCAGTGTCATCCAACATGATTGAACGATCCGTAGTAGAAGCGGCAGTCCAGGAATGTAGCCAGTCAGTTGATGAAACTATGTATGTGAATAAAATACTTCTTTGGAGAAAATAGTGATCAACATTTCTACATTGTAGCCGTTCTTATTTCTGTTTCTTTTTAAGTGACAGGCTGCATTATAACCTTTATGTATGTATATATGTATGTGTATGTATATATGTGTGTGTGTATTTTGCTGGCGGTACTGGGGTTTGAAGTCAGAGCCTTGTATATGCTTACCTTGTTCATTGGTGTTCTGCCCTGTTTTTTGCTGTTTTTTTGGACAGAGAGTTATGGACTTTTCTGTCTGGGCTTCAATTCTTCAGCTCTCAGACTCATGCGAAGCTAGGATTACAGGCATCGTCACTGGTGGCTACCTAACTCTCCTTATTAAAGAATTTATTTTATTTTTCCTAAGGTGAGCTACCAAGTGTTTGGTGGTTTACCCAGCCAATCTGACTTTATGTTCTTTATGTTGTAAATTAGTTGCATATCAGAAGTAAATTTATTTTTCTCTTAGGAAAGTACTGAACCCAGAGAAGTTCAGTTACTTAACCTTGTACAATTGTTAATGGCAAAATTGGGTACAATCTTCACTTTATGACTTTTTCACTTTGTGTCATGTTTTTAGGCTTAGGAATTCGTATAGTAATTAAGGGGTCTTATTTCTCTGAGGGTTCCTTTTTCCTTTCGTCATTTGTATATGGTACTTCCAAATTTGTGGGATATACCTTGGAGGAAAGTATCTAAAAAAATAAGCAGAAACAGTTTTAACTGTAAAGTTAAAGTTTCCTTGGTCAATCGTCATGCTTTTCCAGCCAAAACTAATTGGAACTGCTAAAAGAACAAAAAGAAATTGAGTAGTTTTAATTTTAATCTTGCAAACTAATTTTAACATAGTAGTTATAATGACATGCTCCTAAAACCATTGATAAAAATCTAAAATGTAGTTGGGAAGGTGAAATTGAGGCGGATAGCAATTTGAAGCTCACCCTGGCAAAAAGTTGTTTTTGTTTTTGTTTTGGTCAGTCATGGGGCTTGAACTCAGGGCCTGGGCACTGTCTCTGAGTTGTTTTTTGCTCGAGACCAACACTCTACCACTTGAGCCACAGCACCATTTCAGTCTTTTTCTGTGTATGTGGTACTGAGGAATGGAACCCAGGGCTTCATGCATGCTAGGCAAATACTCTACCACTAACCACATTCCCACCCTGGCAAAAAGCTTTTGAGACACCATCTCAAATCAATAAACTGGGTGTGATGGTATGTGCCTGTCATTCCAGCTTTGGAGGCAATAAATATGATCGTGGCCCAAACTTGTCCAAGGAAAAACCATGACCATATTTTAAAAAATGGCTCAAGTGGAAAAGCACCTATCTAGCAAATTTCAGGTACTAAGTTCAAGCTTCAATTCCTTCTACTCCAAGAAAAATAATAAAGAAACAAAAGACTGGGAGAATGCAAGGGAAGAGGTGATGTTTTCCAAAAAGAAATGTCTACTTTACTTGACTTATGTAACTGTAACCCTCTGTACATCACCTTTAGAATAGTAATAAACAATTTAAAAATAAAAAATTCAAAGTGATTATAATTGAAGTTTAAAAATTATTACCCTAGCTGTGTTCCAGTGGCTCATGCCTGTAATCCTAGCTACTCAGGAGGCTGAGATCTGAGGATTCTAGTTCAAAGCTAGCCCAGGCAGGAAAGTCCATGAGACTCCTTTCTCCAACTAACTACCAGAAAAACCAGAAGTGGCGCTGTGGCTCAAGTGGTAGAGTGCTTGTCTTGCTGAAGGGCTGAGGGACAGCACCCAGGCCCAGAGTTCAAGCCCCATGACCGGCCAAAAAAATATTATTACTCTAAAATAGGTATTACCTTTTTTTTTTTAACCCTAAAGTCACCTGTGTTTATATCAGGACAAAGAGCTTTGCAGCTTTATTTGTCAGAATGTCATTATTTTATAGTGTAAGAGAGGTTCTCAAGCTAGGTGCCAGTGGCTCATGCCTGTAATCCTAGCTACTTAGGAGGCTGGGATCTGAGGATTATGGTTTGAAGCCAGCTCGGGCAGGAAAGTCCATGAGACTCCTGTCTCCAATAAACTACTCAGAAAAAGCTGGAAGTGGTTCTGTGGCTCAAGTGGTAGAGCACTTGCCTTGAGCAAAAATAACCTCAGGGACAGTGCTTAAGACACTTAAGTTCAAGACCCAGGATTGCAAAAAATAAATAAAACAAAGGGGTTCTCAGTTTTGTAAATGAGGAAATGGAATGACAAGGACTAGAGGCCGAATGGGCTCAAGTGGTAGAGCACAGTCCTACTACTGAAAAACAACAGGGCTGGGAGTATGGCTTAGTGGTAGAATGCTTGCCTAGCATGCATGAAGCACTGGGTTTGCTTCCTCACTACCACATAAACAAGCCACAAGCGGCGCTGTGGTTCAAGTGCTAGCCTTGAGCCAAAGAAATCCAGGGACTGTGTCCAGTCCCTGAGTTCGGCCCCAGAACTGGCAAAACAACAACAACCAAAACCAATTGAGAAACTGCATGACAGTTAAATAATGTGATCAGACAGATTGACTAGAAAAGACTTGGGCTGTGTTTCTCTTAGTCCCCCAGTTGTCTACTGTTCATTACCACTACATAATATAACCTTTACTGACCATTTTAAATTTGGGATATACACATACAATTTTGGGGAATATTTTTCAGGTTAGGATATTTATGTAATTTGTAAGTTCTTTTAACCTTATTAAAACACGGTTATTTTATTAATGTGTCTGCAATTAAATTACTTACTGCTTTCTATATAAAATCTCAAAGATGCAGACAGAATTTGGTGTGTATATGTGTTTTGTGTCTTTTTAACTTTTCCTTGAGATACATTTTGTATAATATTTAAAAATTTAAGAAATGAATCATATTTTTTATTGTGAAAATACTGTACAGAGGGGTTACAACTACATGGACAAGATAATGAGTACATTTCTTATCAAGCATTGTAGCCTCCTCCTTTGTTTTTTATTTATTATATATAGTTCATAAAATAGTATACATAAGGAGTGAAGACGTCACTATTTTATACGTAATTGTTCTTTTACAATAAATGGAATTCTTTTCTTTTTTGTACTGATCCTGGGCTTGAATTCAGGGCCTGTACACTGTCTCTGGGCTTTTTTGCTCAAGGCTTGCAATCTACCACTTGAGCTACAGCTCTTACTTCTGGCTTTTTGGTGGTTAATTAAAGAGTGTCACAGACTTTCCTGCCAAGGATGGCTTTGAATTACCATCCTCAGATCTCAGCCTCCTCATTTGCTAGAATTACAGACATGAGCCAATGGCATCCAGCTAGATAATTTTTATTTTTATTTATTTATTTATTTTTTTATCAAGGCTAGCACTTTACCACTTTGAGCCACAGCTCCATTTCCGGTTTTCTGATTGATTAATTGGAGATGAAAGTTGGGTTGGTTTTGAACTACTATTTTCAGATTTCATTCTTTTTTTTGGGGGGGGGTCCGGTCATGGGGCCTGAACTCTGGGCCTGGGCGCTGTCCCTCAGCTCTTCAGCTCAAGGCTAGCGCTCTACCACTTGAGCCACAGCGCCACTTCCAGCTTTTTTCTTTTTGCTTATGTGGTGCTGAGGAATCGAACTCAGGGCCTCAGGCATGCAAGGCAAGTGCTCTACCACTGAGCCACCTTCCCAGCACCTCAGATTTCATTCTGAGTAGCTAGGATTACAGGCATGAACCAGTACCTGGCTAGATGGCATTCTTTTTTTTTTGTTTTTTGTTTTTTGGTCCGGTAGTTGGGCCTGAACTCTGGGCCTGGCACTATCCCTCAGCAGTTCAGCTCAAGGCTAGCGCTCTACCACTTGAGCCACAGCGCCACTTCCGGTATTTTTCTTTTTGCTTATGTGGTGCTGAGGAATCGAACCCAGGGCCTCAGGCATGCAAGGCAAGCGCTCTGCCACTGAGCCACTTCCCAGCCCTAGATGGCATTCTTAATTAGAAGTTAACTTGATTTAAAAAAAAAATTTTTTTTCCCAGTCCTGGAGCTTGAACTTAGGGCCTGGGCACTGAGCTTCTTTTGCTCAAGGCTAGCAGTCTATCACTTGAGCCACAGTGCCATTTTTGGCTTTTTCTGTGAGTGTGGTACTGAGGAATCAAGCACAGGGCTTCATGTATGTTAGGTAAGCACTGTACCACAAAGCCACATTCCCAGCCCCTAACTTCATTTTTTTGTTTATTTATGTATTTATTTTTGGTACTGGGGATTGAATCCAGGATATTGGACTTGCTAGGCAATGCTTTGCCACTAAGATATGTCTCAGCCCTGTTTGTTTAATTTTTTTTTTCAGTCATAGGACTTGAACTCTGGGCCTGGGCGCTATCCCTCAGCTCTTCCCTTAAGGAGAAGGCTCTACCACTTGAGCCACAGCACCACTTCTGGTTTTCTGAGTGCTTTATTGGAGACAAGAGTCTCACAAACTTTCCTGCCCTGGTTGGCTTGGAACCACCATCCTCATATCTTAGCCCCCTGAGTAGCTAGGATTACAGGCGTGAGTCACCGGCGCTTGGCCTGTTCGTTTAATTTTTGAAATAGTCTTTCTTTGTAACCCAGGCAGGCCTAAAATTCCTTATGTAGCCCAAGCTGGCCTTGAACTCATGATCCTTCTGCTCTATCTTCTACGTGCTGGGATAACAAGTATGTGCTACTTCACATAGCACTGTGTATGTGTGTGTGCTGGTACTGGGGGTGTTTGAACTCAAGGCCTGGTACTCTTGCTTAACTTTTTCTCACTCAAGACAAATGCTGATACAGCACTTGAGCCATACCTTCCTTTCCAGCTTTCTGCTGATTACTTGCAGATAAGGTTTCACAGATTTTTCTGCCTGGGCTAGCTTCAAAGCATGATCCTCAGAGCTCAAGCTTCTGAGTTGCTAGGATTATAGGTAAGAACCACTAGTCTCCTGTCACATAGCCCTTTTTTGTCTCATGAAAGTAGAATGCTTAAACCAAAACCTTTACTTCCATGTTATTTGACAAAATAATAAATTGATTATATGGCCTGAGAAAACTCGAAAATGTTATGTTTAACATAGAATTATAATGTGAGTTATTATGTTCATCTAGTATTATTTTAGTAAATCACATCTTTGAATTGTGGGGTGTTTTTCAGAGACCATATTTTCAATATCATTGGAGCCTTTGACATTCCACGTTTTGTGTACAACTCAGAAAGAAAAAAATTTCTTCCGTAAGTATATAAATGAATTTCAGTTGAATATCTTTCTCCGAGAGAAATTTTGTTTTATTTTTGGCATACCTTTGTGTATTTGTGACAATAAGAAGTAGTCATTCCTTTTTTGTAGTCTAAAAATGACCAACCATCCTGCACCAAATTTGTTTGGAACAGCTAGAGATAAAGCTGAGCTGTATCGTGAACGCTATACCATTTTGCACCAGGTAAGTTGTGGGGAACAATGGGTCAAATGGAGAAGAAAAAGACTGTTTCATCTATAAGAAATCTTAGGGATATTTAAAAGATGAAACTTTTCACTTCAAAGTTAGTCATTCAGTTCTGGGATGCCACACAAGCTGTAGAGTACTGCCTAGCAAGTACAAGGCCCTGGGTTCAAGTGCTAGTACCACCAAAACCACAAAAATCAATATATTTTTTAAGTTATGCAGTAAGTTATTTCTAAGTTTTATGTGATTAGGACAATAGAGGGAATGAAGAGATGCAAAAAGTTATTTCCCTTGAGTAATGAAGGCAGTGAAAAAGAATAGTAGCTCATGTGTAATGCATGACTTTGGTACACCAATGTTGTGTTTAGTATGTCACGCCCATAACTTACCTTGTTAATCCTGTAACATTACTTAGATGTAAAATGCTTTCATTATTCTTATTTGAGTGATGAGGAAATGGAGGCTTACCAACTTGCTCAAAGATCACATCTACTGAATGGAAGTAGGTCTCGAATCGATCTATCTGGAGCCCATCGTTTGCCTACTTCATATACCATATTCAAGTAAAGTAGGATCTTATACGTGCTCTAAAAGACATACAAATAATACATTCAATGGAAAAATTAAGGCGGTCATGAGGGAATTGGTAGCATATGACATGGGTAATAACTCTGTGCAGGAAATGGTGAGCAATTATGAGCAAGTCTGGAAAGGCAAATGGGAACCAACTTATAGGAGCACTTTGGATCAGATTCTAAGAAGTTAATATTCTGTTCTCCTGATTTAAGGAGACTGGGGATACCAGAGAGGTTTGGTCACAGCTTCCTCTGCTGGCAAATTTCGGGATGGATTAGTATGAGAGAAGTCAGTGTTGTTAGTTCTGACGTAGTGATAGTTTAGATTGAGGAAGTGACAGGTGGGGTAGAAAGAAGGAACAGCTCAGCCCAGTTCATGTAAGGTCTTGTTAATGACTCTAACCATGCACACTGACAGCCCTCACAGTACTATGTTATATGGTGAATCTTCAAGTAGCCTCTCTGCTCATGTTTTTATTAATGAACTGCTAGAAACTGTAACCTGTTTATACATTACCTTTATAATAATAATTTTTTAACTGTGTTTTTTTTTTCTTTTTTGGTATTGGGGATCGAACCCAGGATGTTTTAATTGCTAGGCAAGCACTTTGCTACTGAGCTACATCCCAGCCCTATAATAATTATTTTAAAACATGGAGGATAAAAAATTTAAAAAATTACTAGGTACTTTTATGTTAGTAAATTACGTGGCTTTCCACATTTGTTGGATATAAAAAAGTTTAAAGACAGGAAGTGGCGCTGTGGCTCAAGTGGTAGAGCGCTCGCCTTGAGTTGAAGAGCTGAGGGACAACGCCCAGGCCCAGAGTTCAAGCCCCACGACTGACAAAAAAAAAAAAAAGTTTAAAGACAGTGTTTAACTCATAGGTTTTTGCTTTTTGGATGGTAGTGGGGTTTGAACTCAGGACTGTACCATTTGAACCACACCTCCTGCTTGACTCTTAGGCTTAAATGTCTACTTCACGGAAATTCATGTCAATCTTTCTTGTTTTCTAGAGGACTCACAGACATGAATTATTTACTCCTCCAGTGATAGGTTCGCACCCTGATGAAAGTGGAAGCAAATTTCAGGTTAGAACATTATCCTAATTATTTGGGGGGGTTATAAGTATATAAGATTAATATTTATTGCTTAATTTTAATTCATTGAATTTTGAATGAAAACTATGTGGCCTCTTTCTCATTAGACAGGTGTTCTGTCATTTGAATCATAACCCTGTCTTGCCTTTAATTGTTTTCCAGGTAGAATCTGGTGGGGTTTTTTTGGTCAATGTGGGGGCTGTACTTTGGGCCTGGGCGCTGTCCCTCAGCTCTTCAGCTCAAGGCTAGCGCTCTACCACTTGAGCCACAGCGCCACTTCTGGCTTTTTCTG